AATCGGAGCAATGACGAATGGCTTCAATTGCCACTACCTCGTTCGCGATGCGGGGGGCGTTGGAGCCCCCAGAAAAGAAGACTCGGGGGTGGATCCGGGGCAACAGCAGCGAACTATAGTCGCAAATGATGTCAATGACGCGCACGTATTGTTCGAGACTGGAGATGAAGATCCTAAGCAAAGCAGAAGCTGTCTAGAATCGAGAGAATGTCAAAACAAGGAAGATGTGCCTGGATAGTCAAGTGCGGAGGAGCCCCGGCAAACCCATGCAGATGATGTAAGCGTTCTGGCTGGACTGGAAGAACCACGGCTGAGTCATCCGGTGGCTGTCGACTGGATTGATATGACAGGTCTGATAGTGAACTGTTCTCAACAGCAGTTGTATGATGTATATGACTGTTATCGCACGGGAAATTACTCCCAATGTCACAGGGCTTTACGTATCCTCGGAATGGACTGACTCATTTGCAAGCGGCGAAGTGCTGCGCCCTCTGTGCCGGTGGCATTCCCCGGGAGGTAACCAGCTACGGATTGCAACACCCGCCTGTTTTAAGGGCTTTCTAGGATAACTACCAAGAGGTGTGCGGTAAGTGTCTTCACAGAACCAAGGGTTTCTCTGCGATGCTTCAGTGAACTGGAATCTATAAAATTGGAGTTAGGTTTTGAACCTCCCACTTATGTCATTTTATATACCTCCAAATATATCAGCTGGCCTGCTGGCCCAATGGTAAGGCGCTTGACTACGGATCAAGAGATTGCAGGTTCGAATCCTGCGTAGGTCATTCTTTTTGGAAATTTATTTTTCATTTTCAATTCAGTCTTTGGCATCTTTGTCTTCATGTCTATGTTGTTTTTCTTTTTTCTTTTTTATTTTTCTTTGAATTTTACATATATCACATCTACTACGTCTTAATCAATCATTCCATCGCAGATAATATGCGCGGTCAGCTCGTGTAGCGTCCTGCCGGGACCATTGCCATGGCTTATGATAAAGCGCGGTCTTAGAAGCGACGCTGCACTGTCATCCGATCAAGACCATGAACAGAGTGAACTAGCCTACGTAGGATTTTCATGATTCTTCATCACAGTCCTATTCATTACTCGCCGGTAACTGCATAAATGTAACCTGCGCGCCAATCACTTCATCAACAAATTGACAGCCCAAGGAACACTGAGTCCTCTCAGGTCACCGTAATGCTGACCAACTCCCAAGAAGACGATGGGAATACCCGTAGCATGCACCATGCTGACCAGGGTGCCCACCATGTCACCAACTGTATCACATTTGCTGATGATGAAGCCGTCAAGGTTTCGCCCAGTACCGAAGGCCTGGTTGAAATTGCGAGCCTGCATCACACTGTCCGTGCCAACCAGGGCTTCGCCGACCATGAAGATCTTGTCTGGGTTAGCGAATTTAGCAAACTTCTCGAGCGAGGACATGAGGCGCTGGTCGTTGTGCCGGCGGCCGGCAGTATCGATAAGCACGACGTCGAAGTGGTTGGCAGCTCCGTATTCGACAGCATCCTTCGCCACGTTCGCTGCATCCTTTCCGTAGCCCTTCTCGTACAGCTCAACCTCGCCAGCGTTCTCGCGGGCACTGAGTTCCTTGAGGTTCCGTGCATGAACACGTAGCTGTTCCACAGCTCCAGATCGGAAGGTATCGCATGCGGCGATGAGAACACGGTATTTGTTCTGCAGCAGAAAATAGCAAATCTTTCCCAAATTCGTTGACTTTCCAACGCCGTTGACACCAACGATTGAGATAACATAAGGACGAGGAGCCTGCTGCTTGCTAGTGGGAGACGTAACTGCATCGATTTCACGAAGCAGGTCAAGAGAGGAGGTAGGCGTCAGTATTTTCCGAAGAGACGACTCCATGGCCGAGCGCAAAGCAGCATCCACACTTTGGAAATTGCCTGTTTTCTTCCCCACGAGCTCCCGCTTGACACCCTCGCACAGCCGGACCGCAGCCTCGCGTGCGACGTTCTTCTTCAACAAATGATCTTCCATGGTCTTCAAGGGCTTCTCCAAATCCGCTTCGGTAAGGGTCTTTCCGCCCACGATGTTACGCAGAAGACCTCCAATTGCATTGAATCCTGAACCGACGAAGCCAGCAGAGGACGCATCCTTCGCTTTGTCGCTGCCTGCATTTTCCAAGATAGAGTGAACTTCATCTCCCAAATCTTTCAGTACGAACTGGCCCTTGCCAGTTCTGTGTCCCCAAGAATCTTGCGACACGCCTTCCACAGCCGGAGCAGCCGCTTCTTCACCGTCAGCATGGGCTGAGTAGTCGAGGACCTGACCATCATCCTCATCGGCAAATCCATCGGCATCCCATTTGCGCATCTTTTTGCCGCTCTTGGGTGTCTTTCCTTTGCGGGTTTCGTCGCCTGAGGAAACATTGGCGCTGGCATTAGCGGCCTTGCGTGCACGACGCGAAACTCGGCCAGCTGGTCCTCCCTTGGCAGTTATGATGTGGTTCGCAACAGGGGTGGATGACCGCGATGTATCCGGGGTGTGTGGTGGCGTACTCTCATCAGAGGTCGCCCCGGCTAGCGCAGCTTGATGCTGCGCTTTAGAAATGTTAGCATTATTACAATCTATGAAGCCCTTTTTGAGACATACCTTTGAGAAGACCAGGCACTGGTGGCGGAGGGGGGCCGCCATTGTCAGACGAAACCAGCGGGTCTTTCTTATCAACCGCATGAGCCACGAATGCCTCCGAAGAGATAGGCCCCGACTTATCCTCAAGCTCCCGAACTTGCTGGTCAAAGTATTTGTCAAAGGGGTATTGTGCTATCCTTGCGCGGGTACTTCGTAGTTGGTCCTTGTACAAATCGATATACAGGGTGGAGATATTGTCCAGGAGTTTATCGATCCAACCAAGCTGTAAGAGAGACTGATAGACGGCCTAGAGCGAGTTGCGGTCAGAGACAGAAGACCTGAGACGAGGTCGAAGACTGCAACATACCACGAAGATCAAGTCAAATTCCTTCACCCTTTTCCACTTCAAAGTGTACTTCTCTTTCTTAAAAGACGGGGCGGCATTGCTCGTTGCCTGAAGCTGGACCTTTTCCTCAATGAAGACATCACTGATAAGGCTGTTAACAATATGCGCCCCGACGGGCGCGTACGACTTCGACCACAGGACTACCCCTGAGGCAGTCAAGATCTCGAATGCTTCCAACATGCTGCTAATAAGTGGATATGCTGTATTGGTGAAACTGGGGTACGGAGGCGAGTGAACAATGATGTTGGAGTGGACGGCGAGATCCGCGCAGTGGGGAATTTGCGGGCGGCAAGCTGATCTGTCGGTGATCCGAAGGGAAGGACTTCAGCCACGTAGAAACACACCTCAACCTTCTCCCATTCTGCGCTCCAGTCACCCCCGATTTGCCGTCTCGGCAACCCCTCGAGCTTTGCAAGGCAATCTTTAACTATTGAACTCCTCTTAACTAGTTTCATTACAACCCAAGAACCATGTACCGCCAGTCGTTCGCTCCACCCCCGGCGCAGTCCCCTCCCCTTCACCATCCTGTGCCTCAGCATGTCTCGACCGTCCCCATGATGCGCTCGCCGCCGCCTCCGGCATCACAGCAGCCTCAGACCTCTGGCTATGGCAACCCATATCAGCCCGCCCCTGCGCAGGGTGGCAGCGGAACATATGCTCCTGGCTTTGGGGGGTTCATCAATGATCCCACCGCGCAGATGGGATTCCAGGTCGGAAAGACCGCCATGGCAGCTGGACAGGAATATATGGAGCAGAACGTAAGCAGCAGCGTCAATGGTGCCTATAGATGAAGCATTGCTAACTAGGCGCCAAGTTCAATCGCTATGTCTCTATACCAGCTCTCAAGCACTACTTCAACGTCTCCAACTCTTATGTCCTGAACAAATTGTCCCTCGTTCTCTTCCCTTGGCGGCACAAGCCTTGGTCCCGTCAACAGGCACGCCTTACAACAGCTTCAACGGGCCCCAATGGCCAGATATCCCAGCAACAATACTCATCCATGTTCCTGCCTCCGCGTGACGATCTCAACTCCCCAGATATGTACATCCCCGTCATGGCACTTGTCACATACATCCTTCTCTCAGCGATGCTGGCCGGATTCCGCGGTAACTTCCATCCGGAGCTGCTTGGTTCGATCACGACCACAGCTATCGCCGTCATTTTGTTCGAGATAATGTGCTTGAAGCTGGCTATGTACATCCTCAGCATCAACAACGAGTCACAGCTGCTGGATCTGGTGGCATATTCGGGATACAAGTTTGTCGGCATCATTGTCACTCTGTTGACATCTGAGATCCTCACGCCAGGCCGAGGAACCGGCGGCTGGGTTGGCTGGGTCGTCTTCATTTACACCTTCCTTGCTAATGCCTTCTTCCTGGTACGTTCATGGCCGTATGCTTTGTTGACGACTGTACTAATGACGCATCATAGCTCCGTTCCCTGAAATACGTTCTTCTCCCGGACTCTACGAGTGATGCGTCTATGCGCACTGGTTCTATGCATACGGTTGCTCGCTCGCAACGTAACCGTCGCACTCAGTTCCTGTTCATCTACTCCTATGTGATTCAGTTCGTTTTCATGTGGGTTCTGAGTCGGGAGGGGCCGATGTCGATTGCGTCTCGTGGTGGAGCAACTGGTTCAGCGTAGGGTCATATCGTACCGGGTTGCACATAATGATATAGACGGACCTCATGAAAAGGGATAGGGATATTAGTTCATATTCATGTACGTTTTGTGGAGAGCAGTAAAATCGAATTAAATCACTATTTTCATAGATCAGGAATGCATATGGTGACATTGTTCACCTGCATTTGGTCACGCAGAACATGAAGTCATACCTGAGGGCGGATCATACACGAATGCCATTGGTCGGACGGGGTCAGAATAGATCAGAAGGGTGCGGGGTCTCAACGATTCTACAAGATAAAATTTCTACAAGCTCAAAAATGTCCATAATTTTCATGATAAAAGATTCAATTTCATATTTTCTAGCTAATGGCTGTATAGCAGCGCAATCGGAAATCCTATAATCCCACGAGTTAGAACTCAGTCAAACAAGCAATGAGTGACAATATTGTGGAATGAGATGCTCCTCAGAGATCTTGGTGATGAAGTAAATTTCATTGCCAAAGGCATCAACTACTATCTAGGCGTGATAAAGTTTTTTAATCACTGGAGGGGGGTGTGCAAGCAAGGAAGTGCAATGGCAACGTACCGAAAGAGCGAGCTGTTGGCAACAGTAGAGTCGAGTGGCATGAATGCGCAAACCTGTTTAGTCTTCAACATGTTAGCGATGAGACTCAATGAAGGTATGTATGGTGTCAAGAAACAATGTAGAAGTGAGGATATCAGAATATGTAAGAAATTGAATATCATGCGACAGTGCTGTATAAGAACCCCGGCGAGGGCTCACAGACACTGGGTCAATCGCAAATTACCGCATCATGTAAGGAGGAGGGGGAAGTAAACAGAGAAAGCTTCAAGGTAGAAAGAGCTTACCAGTTATTGTGTGGAGAGTCCAGCTCCCTGGTGGAGTTTGAGTTAGTAAACAAGATGGCGGAGTAGTTCTGGACAGAACGACATTATGTTCTGATGCAAGATGGCTCAAAGGTCGACAGAGTCTGGACCTTTTAAGTTCTGCAAGATAGCAAGAGGAACAAGCAAAGTAGATCGCGTTGAAAACTTGAAGCTTAAAAGCAACTCCATCGGAGCGGATAATATCCGACCTCCGATGGAGCGCGCTAAGGCCGGGAGGCAGCCCTAGGCCGCACGCAAACGCCCCTGGGTGGGCTGCTACTGGCTGCTAAGCGAGACTCTTGTGGGCGAAGGGCCGCAGCACCGAAATTCGCTATCCAGCAGACCAGAGCGACTTGTGCGTTTCGGACGACTTCGACAACCCGACATTTCGACAACAAATTATCAACACCGTCCTCCCGGAGTCTGTCGACCGTGAGTTGCTGTCCGCCCTTACCGTGATCCCCGCAAGACTTCAACTAAGACGTCCCTTTTTTTGCTATTTTTCTAGGAAGCCTTCGCCATGGCCGATATCGATGTTCAGGTTGCTCAATGGAAGCTGGTTGAGGTTGGCCGCGTTGTGCTGATCCGCAGCGGTCCTTACACCGGCAAGCTCGCTGCCATTGTTGAGATTGTCGACCACAAGCGTGTACGTTTTTTTGCGCATATACCGGAGTTGCTACGAGCGCGAAGGAATCGGATCTATATATTAGGAGGAAACGCGATATTGACAAAAGTGTTGCATCGATTAGGTCTTGGTTGACGGTCCCTCCACCGAGGAGCAGAAGATCGTTCCCCGCCACGTCCTTCCTCTCTCCCACGCCACCCTCACTCACTTCGTCATCCCCCGTTTGCCCCGTGCTGCCGGTACTGGCCCCGTGAAGAAGCTTTGGCAGAAGGAGGAGATCGATGGCAAGTGGGCCAAGTCCAACTTCGCCCAGAAGACCGAGCGCGCTGAGCGCAGGAAGAACCTGTCCGACTTCGAGCGCTTCAAGGTCCTCCGCCTCCGGAAGCAGGTACGTTTACGAATCGCGATGGTGTGACATGCACGGAATATTGGGTTATATGGAGGGAAATCATATGAAAGTGGTCGGGACTATTGGTCGATTACTGGGAAAGAGCCGGGGATATGATGTGCATGGAATTGCAGGAACAAGTGCTGACATGTTGGATTTTACAGGCTCGCTACGAGGTCCAGAAGGCTCACGCTAAGCTCAGGGCGGCTGCTCCTAAGTCATAGACGGTTCATGAGGCTCGGTGCATAGAGTGACAGGGTTGCCTTGGGACGGGGTTATTTGCTGATGGTTTAATTTATTTTCAGCAAAATGGGCTGTACGCATTATTGACAGCATAAAAATGATTCAAGAACCTTTGATATCCTGGCATAGGTTATCCTCGTACGTCATGAAAGATGGAGGGCGGCACGGAACGCCTTGCAATTAGTATATGGCAAATGGTATCTCGGGGTATTAATGATCTTGACATGACCTGGTCATCAACTTAGACAAAAACCAATCCACAAAGCCAAATGTGTTTCAGTAAATCAAAACAGTAGAATTGATACGGTGCAACGAATTGCTGCAGATTAGATTATATTTAAATAATGGAGAATATGAACACTTGCGTCAGTAGAAGTGGTGGTTGTACTACGATCTGTAGATGCATCGCTTCTGTGTGTCCGGGGTGAGGGTCCCAATAAGCTCGCTAACGATTTTCGGCAGGATGACATTCACACAGCTTTGCGACTTCCCAACTACAACAAGGCAAAAAAATCCCCCTCATCCACCACAGCCCTTTGTTCCGCGTCTAGGTAAGTTGAAATGGAATTCCTTGCCGCGAAGTTCAATTTTACGGTCGATTTTGGCGATTTCCCGCAGATTTGTGGGTGTACCACGGTCTGAGAGGGACATCTTCGAACCTCCCACCTTCAGCGACCAGTCACGTCCCACAGTGCGATTTGCTGACCATCAACTCTACAGCCCTTTTAGGCTCACTCGAATTACAAAATGGCCGACCCCCGTGTTGAAGAGCTCCCCGACGAGGAGGTTCCCAAGACCAACGTTGAGGATGCCGGCAGCTCCTCCGAGTCTGAGGCTGGCGATGAGCCCACCATCCCCGGTGGTGCCGCTGTCACCATCCACTCTCGCAACGAGAAGAAGGCTCGCAAGGCCATTGGCAAGCTCGGCCTGAAGCACGTTCCCGGCATCACTCGTGTCACTCTCCGTCGTCCCAAGAACGTATGAATACGGCCCTGTCCCTCCTTCCCGTGCGACGCTCAACAAAACCTGCACTCGTGGAGTTATTGTGGGCGACGAAGGATTCTCTCAGACCGCAGAGGCTAATCTATCGCATATAGATCCTTTTCGTCATCAACCAGCCCGATGTCTACCGCTCCCCCTCCAGCAACACCTGGATGTATGTGTCTCCTTGGACTATGGCGAATTGATGAATCATCTCAAGCTTACATTGTTGCGATAGCATCTTCGGTGAGGCCAAGATCGAGGACCTGAACGCCACCGCTCAGGCTACCGCTGCCCAGCAGCTTGCTGAGGCTGCTGCCAACGAGCACGCTGGTCACGACCACGAGCACGACCACGGCAAGGGCAAGGCCCCCGAGGCTGAGGCCAAGAAGGAAGAGGAAGAGGATGATGGCGAGGAGGTCGATGAGTCTGGTCTTGAGGCTAAGGACATCGAACTGGTTATGGCCCAGGCTAATGTGTCCCGCAAGAAGGCCGTCAAGGCTCTCCGGGAGAACGACAACGATATCGTCAACTCCATCATGGCTCTCAGCATATGAACACCGCCGGAAATGAACGCATGAATCGGTGGCTGGCGTCTCTTGGCCCTGCTGGCAGGATGGATTTTGGGTGCGAGGTCAGATTGATATCCCCTAGGATGCATGTACTGTCAGGCCCCATAGTGTAAATCATTTAGCCAAAAGCAGAATTGAATGATGTGAAGCACTATTTGGCACCTTCCATTTGGGTGGAATATTTTCTAAATTAAAAAAAGTACACAAATTATTCCGTAAGCGGAGACTTATATATTCAAATTCGAAGAAATATCAAAAAATCCTCGGGCTATAATTGAAAGTATAAACATGTAAGCACTCCGGACTATCTATACGCACACCCGCCCCCTGCGAACTCCCCTTGTGTAGTGCCAGTTCGGGAACACGGGAAAGCCGTGGTCACGTGAGGGCATCCCCATTCCAAATCTTGCCGAGTTCAACCCTCACCCTCCCGGAACCTCCAGCTTCGCACGTTGAACTCCCCTCTCTCCCCCAACCTTCTCCGTTCCACATCTCAAAATGGCCACTGTATGTGGGGATCCTGTTTTTGTCATTAAATTGTCTCGGATGGCGAGAGAAATGTGTCAGCTAACTGCGTGGTGTACAGCGTAGCGCCGCTCTCAAGGTCGACTGGGCCAAGTTGACCAGCTCCCTCGGACTCCGCGGCCAGACCGCTGCTTCCCTCCAGGCCTTCAAGAAGCGTAACGACGATGCGCGCCGCAAGGTTCAGATCCTGTCTGAGCAGGCCCAGACTGTCGACTTCGAGCACTACCGCAAGGTCCTGAAGAACCAGGCCATCGTCAACGAGATCGAGAACCACTTCAAGACCTTCAAGCCCGCCACCTACGATGTCAGCCGCCAGCTGAAGGCCATCGACGCTTTCGAGGCTCAGGCCGTCAAGGGCGCTGAGGAGACCAAGGGCAAGGTTGAGTCCGAGCTCCGCAGTCTCCAGAAGACCCTCGAGAACATTGAGACCGCCCGTCCCTTCGAGGACCTCACTGTTGTATGTTATGGTGTCCCAGGGTTGGACTACGCAGGGTTTTGGTACAGATTTATTAATTTCTCTTCTTCTTTTCTGTTTAGGACGAGGTTGCCGCCGCTCAGCCCGAGATCGACGAGAAGACCGCCTCCCTTGTCTCCAAGGGCAGATGGATGCCGGCTGGTTACAAGGTGCGTGACACAAAACCTGCATTAATGCCTGAGTCTGCGACGAGTGAAACTAATGGATGTTTGAATTACAGGAGCGCTTCGGCGACATGTCCGTTGTTTAAACGGTCACATCTTTTGTACCTATTTACGTCTCTCCATCCTTCGACCAGTATAATCACACGAAGTTACCCTTTGTTGTCAAGCATGTTGGCCAGTTAGGATACCCTTGCTCTCTGGCAGTGTGATGTCGGTTGTAGGGTCATGTATAGAAACAATGTTGAATTTAGATGGTTCCCTCACCACCGGACCGTTTTTGTATATCGGCCCTCGACCGCTATGTTACGCTCCATATCAAGCAGTCGTTATTTCTACGATTGAAGGTATTCAGTACCCACACCTTAATATTTGGGACCAATGAATCGTAGCAGTTCGCAAGGAAATTGCGAATAGCTGGCGCCCAGTACGACGTGTTATCGACATTAGTCCCATGCCAACACCAAGGGCAGTCAAGATGATAAAATTAGATGCTTCTTTATAACGATCCCCGCCTTTTCCCCAAATTCAAGGCCCAGTTCACTCCGATCGCATTGCCTCCAATTTCGGTCTTGATTGCCGCATTGAGCAACCAGTTTGTTTGTCATGGTCGTAGTTTGCAAGGCATCTGGGATTAGACTCGAGACTTAGCCGATCCCGAGCAGCCTAAACTCTCTGCGCCAACAACAACACAGGGAATCCCGCACTTCAAGGCTGACTCTGGATTGCACATCCACGTCGTGATGGATCGATCATGAGCCACAAAGCCAAATCATTAAAGTCAGAGGCTTAAGATTACCTACTGCGAACCTATTTGTTATCGGTTCAATCAAATTACGATCTCCACTCTGACAGATTCGCGCCCCTATTTTTGCTTCGCCAGGAACTCAGCTGAGAGACTGAGTGGTCTAGACCTTATTTTGATGACCATTAAACACCGATGGCCCTGTCAATCTACAAGTACTTAAATTCAGGATGGTAAGCTTATCGCCAGGATGATTGTTGAAGCTCAGGCCATCTTCTCCAAGTACCGTCCCTTAAGACTTCAAGATATATAATCCCTCCGGTATACGGATAGCTACTAGTTGGAAGACCATTACTATTGAGTTCACAATGCCTAACGTCTCGCAGCCGGCCTTAGCCGGATTATCAGCACTCGAGAGGCTACCAGTGGAAATTATCCAAGAGATCTTCCTCCACTGTCTCGAAGTCAACCTCCCACGAGCCTCCATACACATCGCCCGGGCTCTCTCCAACACGGTCCTATACACCTGGGTCATTCGCTATGTCTTCAGCAGCACCAACGAAAGCGCGAGACAGGATTTCTTTACACCTGATTTTCTTCCCTGGCCTCTTGATGTTTTCGCCATCTCTCCTAATGAGAGGAAGAACCTGCAAAATGTCATCCTCGGTTGTCGCTGGTGTACACTACCTCTGATCCGCAAATGCCAGAGGGACTACATCGAGCATACGATCCGCCGCAAGTGTCTACAGCTAGACTTGTCACCCGAAGACCGCCAGATTCTCATCGGTATTGGCGAGCAATTCGACAAGGATGTACAATCCACGCCTGATGAAACGCCCCATGGTCATCGCGGCAAAGGCGACCTAATACTCAAAGCCAAAATCCCAAAGTCGGATGTGGACTGCAAAGTTGCAGTGTGGTTCGATGCTGGCGCAGTTCAGATCCGTCCATCGAGCGAGATCTACCAGGAGACTGACATCTTCCGGCTACCATGCTTCGCAGCCAACCTACCAGTCCAGGTCCCGGACAAGCTACTTTTTCCTCCTTGGACCGACTCTAAACTGGACTTCCTCGAGCTGCTCTCAATGGACGGCTATCTTGACGAGGATCCCGAGCACCCGCGCGCGAAGCGTATCCTCCGACAGACGATTCGAGACCGTGACCTCGCAACGTTTAAGCGATTGCTGAGCATGCGGATTCGTGTGCCGTGGTACAAGTACCCCATTCGGTGGCCGGTCCTGCCAAATCACTTCTACGTGGCTTTGAAGTATGCGGACGAGGTGGAGGACCCTTTCGTCCGGTTGCTGGTGAGTCAGCGATGGGAGGATATCCCCTCTGACGACTTTCAGCTCAAGGATCAATTGATGGCTAAACTTGGGACAGGCATCTCGGGATAAATTGCCAGGATGACCTCAGTCCGCAGGACTTACACGGTATACAACTACGGGGTACGCCCAATTTACTTCGACATTTTATAATTTGGTGAAAGATTTCATTGCTCGATATGGAGACACAGGATATCAGGCACAGCAAATAAGATGAGAAGGAAACGCAGCAGCAATCCAAGGGAACCACAAAAACTCCGAACTGATATCCATATTCATATCCGTCATAACGTCATGGCGTTCAAGTCAAAGGTCGAGGTCAAGGTCGGACATGTCTCGTATTTAATTAATGTCAGACTCTTGACCTCCGCGTTCTTCTCCTCCTTCCACCACAGGATCCGCAGGTCAGGCACGAGATGATCACGTCGAAGAGGGTAACGACACCGTCGATGATGGCTTTGCAGACAGCACCGATTGTGTTGACGATGCCCATCAGGCAAGCGCCGATGGCGTGGAAGATACTAGTGATCTATATAGATGGAGGTGTTAGCAATCACAATCTCATTTGTTGATATAAGAGAAAGAAGAGACATACACAAGAAACCACAGCACCCATATTGACGACTCAACGTATTCCGTTGTAGCAGTAGTAGTTGTATGTAGTATGATAGATGGATGATAGATGGAAATTATTTCGATCCCTTCGGCACCGTAGAATTATAGCTCGAAGAAGCAGGAGTATGAGTAGAAGTATCACTGAAAGGACGCATGTTGATCAAAAAAAGAAGATTTCGAAAGTATCCCACGGAGGTATATATATGTGTGTCGTGCAGCGATATTCAATCGCAATACTTCAGTGAATGAAGTAGTAGTAGTACTTTGTACAAGGGGGGACGATCGATGATGTATGATGGATGATGATGTACTTTGCCAGTGGCTTGCTTGTCCAAGTGAAAGAAAAGAAAAGATAATACTAGCCAAAAATAATTATGATCGACATACCACCTACATATTAAATATTAATATTTCCCAGTTTTCATCTTACAATAGTAAATCTAATCCTTGGAACCATGTACCAAACTGTTGTTACTTGGGATGGGATGCCGTCATACCGACGACAGAACGACGCTGATGTTTTCAACCTTCAATCCCTTCGGGGAATTTCCGGTGCGGATCAAGTACCCATTCAGATTTACTTTAATTTGATATTTTTTTTAGGTCATTTTTGATGTGACGACGGATTCAGTTCACTTAATTGCCACTTATGATAAGGCTGAGACCCTTGACGTTATGGCTGGTCTTGATTTTCCCCCTGTAGATTTTAGATTTGACAGGGGGAGGGGGTGGTGTAGTGACGTCATGACTTATAATTTTCCCCCCCTGGTTCCTTGGGGGCTAGATAGGGATTAGTGGTAGGGTTTTATGGTGGTGGATTTGGAAGGGGAGGTCAGGTGAGAGGGGATGCCCTGGGATGGTGTTTGCTTTGTTTGATAGGTTGATTATGGATATCAATGTCTTGACTGTTGCTAAGAGATACAAAGTACGTAGTGAGGTAAAGGATTGAATGCATGCATAATGTCATTATATAAGAATCTATTTACCTATGTTATGTTATGTTATCGTACACATTACCATCAATCACCATATCAATAATCTACACATCCCTTTCCTCTCGTACCATCTACCCACTCAGCTACTAAGTTGGATATGTATGCACTTACATATTCGTCAACAGCCTCAAAATCCCACTCACTCTCCCGCCCAACGTAATCTGATACCCCGTCTCCACAACTCCCTTACACATCTCCCATGCACCCGTGCCGTCCTGCTTCGCACCGTCACCCTTGCGAATAGGATAGTCCACTCTGGGCGGAATCCTCGTCGCCATAAGCTTAGGGAACCGATCCACACAGACAGCCTTGATATTACTGACACCCCTCAAGCCCTCTTCGCCCGCAAACCGACCGTATCCGGATCCCTTGACACCACCGAACGGCAATTGAACCGCATAGTAGCTGCCAAAGTCATTGACCGACACCATGCCCGACTTGATGTTCGCCACGCACTTCGCGATATCAGTCTGGTTGTAGCCGAAGACGCTGGCACCCAGGCCGTAGTCCGTGGAGTTGGCGATGGCGATGGCGTGGGGGACGGAGGAGGCGCGCATCACGAGGAAGACCGGAGCGAAGAGCTCCTGCTGGGCGATCTTCATGGTCGGGGTCACGTCTACCAGGAGAGTCGGGGTGAAGTAGTGGCCTAGAGGGTGCTCGGGGTGCTCGAAGCGCTTTCCACCGCAGATCAGACGAGCGCCTTGCTTGACGGCGTCGGCGATGAGGGATTCCAGGCGGTCGAAGGAGGCCGGGGAGATCATGGCGCCGACGTCGGGGGTTCCGGCGGAGGTTTTGGAGTCGAGAAGAATGGAACCGAGACGAAGACGGGCGATACGGGAGGAAACGGTCTCAACGAGTTTGTCGTATGCGTTAGGAAGGGCGATGATGCGCTCTACGCCGATGCAGTTCTGGCCGGCGGATTGGAAGACACCACGCATGAGGATCGAGGCGATGGCGGGGATTTCACTGACGGTGCGGGAGTCATCGAGAACCAGGGCTGGGTCCTTGCCACCCAGTTCGACGGTCACCGGGGTGAGAGATTTAGCGGCGGACTCGCAGACTTTGTGGGCCACGGGCTTGGAGCCGATAAAGGTCAATTGGGAGATGTCCGGGTGGGAGGTCAGGTGGTCGGCGACGTTGGGGAGGCAGACGATGCTTTGAACGAGGTCGCGCGAGTGTCCGCAGCTGGAGAGGGCGCCGCGGATGACCTCGAGGAAGAAAGCGGAGGACCATGCGGTTTGTTCGGAGGGTTTCACGACGACACCGTTTCCTGCGAAGATAGCACTGATAACAGGGGAGATGAAGTTGTGGAAGGGGTAGTTCCATGAAACGCAGGCAGAGACAACGCCTAGGGGTTCGTAGGTGACCATGTTCTTCTTGTACATCATGAGGAAGTTTGTCGGGCGCGATTCCGGCGCCAGGGCCTTTTCACCATGGTCGAGGGTCCATTTCAGCTTCTCTGCGGTGACGAGGATCTCTCCGAAAGCAGCGTCGACTTTGGTTTTGCCTGAATCCAAGCAGCAAGCGGTCACGAGTTCATCCTGGTGGTCGAGGACGTATCTGTTGGATGAAGGGTTCAAGGTCAGTGCTTGCGTTGGTGGGTGAAAATTGACATGGCAGGATGAGTACACACTTCAGCAACGTCCTCAGGACCTTCCTCCTCTCTGCAAAGCTAGTATTGGCCCATTGCAGTTGTGCGCTCTTCGCAGCCAGGACTGCGCGATCGACGTCGTGAGGAGTTGCGGGTTTGATTCCATTGCCGAGTACTCGTCCGTCCGCGGGACAATAGCTCATAATGAGGTTTTCGTTCCATTGCTGCGCAGGAGAAAGACGTCAGAAGCATGTCAAGTTATTTAGAGGCAGGTATGTTCTGTAAAGGAGAGGGTATAGGCAGACTTACCCCCCGAACTTGTCCCTCCAGCACTTTTCTTCCCTCCCCTTGAAGGCTGTCCCACTTCTCGCCCTTCCAATTGGCCCGAATCTCTGGAGGAATAGGCACATTGAATGTAACGGCAGCTTCCTTCCTACCCAGAACGTAGAGATAACCAAGGTACGCGGCTGCGAGCGAGAGCAACGTGACGCCGAGTAACGGGCCCTGAGTCCGGAGATGGTCCACCAGAGGCAGGAGAGCCGGGGGGATGAATTGGTGGAGTGAGTCCATGGTGAAAGTCGCACGGGGCGATTGACTCAATGCTCTGCTTTCCCGGGCCCTTCTGAGTGTGCGAAAAGACAGGGAAAGGGCGAAAGGGAGGAGGGGACTTAAGGACTGTCCGGAGGTGGTTCGATCGATTATCCACTGCTCCGATATGCGGGTGCACGTGCCAAGGGGGCGGGTTCCATCCAGCTTTTTGCAGTGAACACCTGACGAGAGGTCCTGGCCAGATATAAAGATAGAAAACTATTTATATTTATATGTTTTTAGGGCTTCAGTCATTCGGGACTTAATTATTTTACCTTAAAAATTCGTCTCAAGCGGTGTCTCAGAAAGTCGGTTGAACTGCCAGACGTAGATCTTCATCGGATATATATAGTGCTAGTTCTACTGCTACTGATACTCGTGGAATTCATCGTCGCCATGAAATGGGCTGGATTTTATTGTCTTCTAAAAAAAAAAAAAAAACCTCTAGCTCTACATTACTCAAGCAATGACAACACCAACTTGCTAATCACCAGCAAATTTCCGTACACAGGTATACAGTCACACATGGTTGCGGATGTCATCAGCATCTCTGCTCAACCACGGCGTTTCCGTCCATTGGGTTTGGCATCCTCCATTGATTCCGTGCTACCTCCCTTCCTCTTTCCAGTCCGTTTCACCAAATGGTCAATCACACAACCCTCCTCCCATCCGGCAGACGACTGCCCAGTGATTGCCCGACAACGTGGGCAAGACTTACCATGACGGATGAGGAGCTGATGAAGGGAATACTTCAGATGATCAGGGATGCGTACTTCGAGATGGCTGAACGCCGTAATCTCCGTGGCTTTGTCCGGAGGCACCCAGTCCAGCCATTTGCAGATACGGAAGATGTGAGTGTCGACCGCAAAGCAAGGGCGTTGCAAACAAAACAGTAAGACACAAGCAGCAGTTTTCGGTCCTATCCCGGGGTATTTGACCAACTCCACCATGGCGTCCTCTGTAGCAAGGCTGTGAAGATGGTTCAGGGATAGGAAGTTCTGGTCGGCGCATGCAATTTCATACTGCTTGCCACCTTCGGACTTTGTAAGCAGATCCCGTGGCGCGTCCTGAGAACCTTTCAGCAGCATGTCTCTGCGCTGCTGATTCTCTTCGTAGACCATGTCTAGTATAGCCTTGATCTTCTTGCTTTTGACGTCTGCTAAGCCGCCACGCTTGATGGCTTCAAAAACATCTTTGAGTGGCGCCCGACGGACAGCATCCCAATCCACACTTCCTTTACCAATACCCTCTTTCAGGATACCAAATCTCTGCACAAGACCATTAAAGGCCATGGCGGAGTTGTTGCCCGTCGTTGCCCCGCTGAGCAAAGTGCGAATGAGAGCATCAAGGACCGAGGGAACCTCGCCACAGCCGGTAACAGTAAGAGATGGCTCAGGGATAGTAGTAGGCGCAACAATCTCTCCATGTACGGTCGAGAGCAACCGATTGACTTCTTCACATTCATCAGGGGTGGGGTGCGCCCAATTAGGGAATGGGCTAATTCCAGGTGTGAGGCCATATGTATTAGTCTTTTTGGATCTCTTCTCTTTTTCTCTAGGCCCCGAGGCCGCTTTTGTGGCCTTGTCAACAGTGTTCTGCAGTGTATTGGAAAGTGCATCTATATCTTCTTTCTTTATAGAGGTGTCGGTGTCGCGGGTGTCTAGCTTGATCGGAGCGCTCTTATCCTGCAGCTTGGAAAGCAGAGTAGCCGAACCTAGGTTGTGAGGAAGTTCTTGAGCATCATTGATTCTTGTAGCTCTGCCGTTTGTCTTTAGCCTTTTGTGGGCAGGTTCGCCCACTATTCCGTTGCGCTTTATGGGTCGACTCCCAGATGCAGCGGCGGTGGCTCTTTTGAATGACTTCTTGAAGACTGCAGCATCCGAGTCTGATACCTTGGATGGCTGGGCCTCGTTCTGCTGCATTTGAGCAGCAAGCAGCGCTGTCTCCCGCGCAGTGGCGGATCGTGTCATACGAGCCATAACTACTCAATCAATGACATATAGTGGATGGACGACAGTGTACTCTTCACACGGTAGAGGCAAAAGAGAAGCCGACCGGCACCTTGGAGATACCGCGCAAGTTCGATTCAAACCACGGTGTATACCGCTGGCTGAAGGACGAGGCTAGACAGATCCTGCATGACGCAGGAGCCGTCAATGGAATGGTATTTTAAGTCACCCCCGTAATCGTTATGCAAGAGTCTAGAGGTGGTGGCCACGCGAGATGATCAATCGTCGTCACATGATCGGGGAACCTGCAGGGCCGTCCTGCATCTACGTCATCCTATGAACATATGTCCGGTTGCACAAGAATTTTCATCGGTGGTCTATATATTCGTTAAACGCAGGGTATCTCAGCCCTTCGCTGTCTTTGATAACAAAGCAAATGGCCTCCCTATCTATCATCCACCGTCTACGAACTCCAAGACTCCAGACCACATAAATGCCATGAAATGGTTTAGATAGGCCATAATGTCATAATCATGCGTGATCAGCAATGTTATGGATGCTGATGTCCATACGATCCTTCACCTTGGGGTGCTCCTCTTCCTTGTGTTTGCGGGTGGTGCACACGCTGACCTGGGGCACCTCCGACTCGCTGGGGTCCTGAGCGGGGATGATGTTGCCCGAGCCATCCAGCTTGACACCGTTGGCTGCCATGCGGAAGTCCTTCTCGCTGGCAAAGCCGTGGGTGACAGCTTCCTTGGCACGGTCCAGCGCCTTGATCTTGCGACCTTCGCCGCGGAGCTTCTCCAGGTGCTCAAAGTAGCCATCGGAGACCGGGGTGATGTAGTTGCCGCAGAAGACACCGACTTCAAAGTCGCGTGGCTCGGACAACCCATTCTCCTGAGCAATCTCAGCACAGGCACCCTTCAAGTCCTCCAAAGTCTGGTAGATGACACTGTCAGCACCAATGTGCTTGGCGATAGACTCGGTGTCGCGGTTGTGCGCGACGAGCTCGGTAGGCGATGCCAGATCAATACCATAGATATGAGCGTGTCTGTAAAGATGGTAAGCAACAGAAGATGTACAAATTGGGACTGTTACCACTTACGTGATCTCTGGAGCGCAACTGGCGAAGTAAACCTTCTTAGCGCCGGCTTCCCGGGCCATAGTGACGATCTCCCGACTGGTCGTGCCTCGCACAATACTATCATCAACCAATAGGACATTTCGGTCCTTGAACTCGGCCTGCATAGCATTCAACTTGCGGCGGACACCCTTCTGTCTGGTCTTCTGCTCAGGCATGATGAAGGTACGGAAGACGTAGCGGTTCTTGACAAAACCTTGGCAGTAAGGCTTGTCCAGATACCGGGCAACGGCCGCCGCAGACGTCGTAGAGGTCTCAGGAATGGGGATAACGACATCGATATCCTTGACCACTTCCGGTCCAAGGACATCGAGGATTCTGGCAGCGAGACGGTCACCCATCCGCTGACGGCTACGGTACACGCTGATACCGTCGATGACGGAGTCAGGACGAGCAAAGTAGACGTATTCGAAGATGTCAGGAGCATAGGACTTCTTGGGAGCGACCTGACGGAAGATAGGCTCACAACCCTTCTCAATGATGACCGCCTCACCAGGCTGGATGTCGCGGATGTTGCTGAATCCAAGCTGGTGGAGGGCGACCGACTCGGACGCCATCATGTAGTCGGTGCCCTCACCGTCAAGGGAGGCCCGAGAACCGATGACGAGAGGACGGATACCATAGGAGTCACGGAAACCCAGGAGACCGAAGCCCGCGAGCAGAGCAGTGCAAGCCCAGCCACCCTGGCATCTCTCATACATGCGGCTGAGACTGGAGAAGACGTCTTCAGTGTTGACACGCGCCTTCTTCGTCTCGCTCAGCTCGTCAGCCCAGATGTTCAGCATCAACTCACTGTCGCTGTCAGTGTTGATGTGACGGTGGGCTTCGAGGTCGAGATATCTCTTCAGCTCGGGAGCGTTGATCAGATTGCCGTTGTGGGCCAGGCAGATACCATATGGACTGTTCACATAGAATGGCTGAGCCTCAGCGTTGGCACTGCTCCCGGCAGTAGGATATCTCAGATGACCAATTCCCATAGAACCCGGCAGGTCTGCTACCCTGGCGCCATCGTTGAAAACCTTGGCGGCCATACCGTTCGACTTCAACTGATAAATGCGACCGCCGGTTGCGCACGTGGCAATTCCTGCTGCATCTTGACCTCTGTCTAATTACGATCGGACGAATATTAGTAGGTGCTTCTCAAGCAGTGGATAGTCCCCGCAGTCTGGAGGGGCTAAAACTCACGTTGAAGCAGGTACAGTGCCTCATGAAGGTCGATGGCAGCGGACGACGAGGGGTTCGCCTGAATCAGAGCAATGATACCACACATTATGTCGGCGGTAGGATGTTCTAGTTAGAAGCTTGAGAATTAGCACGCGCTTCCCGAAAGAAATGACCAGTAAGGCAAAATTTCAGTGGCAATGTAAGTATAGTCAGATCGGAAAATATCCGCAATGATGCTTAGGAAGTCTAACATCTATAAAAAAAAACCGAAATTCATCATAAAAGAGGCGAGGATTGAACAAGAAAGGGAAGATAAAAGGAAAGCGATCCTATACTCACATCCAGAACGGGTAGAGAAAGACTTGGGGGGGAACACACACACACAGTGTGGTGGGGTAGAAAACGGAATTGGACGGGTGTAAAAAGATGGGATAGAGCCGGAAACGTCTATCGAGACATAACAAGACTCATGCAGAGGTAGTAATGGTGGCGGATAATGGCCAATGTCACGCCCACGGAGGGATAAGTGAAGCGAATAACATGGTTAAAGGAGTTTTTTTAGGAGAGGAAGAGAGGAGAGAGGGATCTCGCATCTTATTTCTCCTGTTCTTCTCCACTGCCAACCGAGTAAAAGGGAAGAATTTTTGCGGGTAGCCGCTAAACCAAAGAAAAATTTCATCAAACCGGAGATTGCCCCGGCTTTCCAGTAATGCCGATGCCGGACCTGACTCAGCTCCCCGCCCGTTCCTACCATTGGTTGATCCATGCTTTGCTGGTCTCGACCACTCAGAGATGAGTGTGCGGATTAGGTAAGTGTTATCTATATAACTAGTTAGTACTTTACAGTGAATATAGAGAACTACTTACCTTACTTGCTTATAGCACAGGCTATTGCCATTATTTTACTACTTCTCACTCGGAACATTCCTGTCACAACGCTGATTTGCCTAGACTATTGTGGCTGCTGCCTAGTCACACTCAATCCCACTGAACTAGGCTTGTGAGACCTGTGTGAGGGAGCTGTGTAGCCAACGTGATGCAAGACTAGCAAGCAGCCATAATCTACCTCACATCCCATTCACCAGTCAGGTGCTTCTAGACTACACCTCGGAATAGCTTCATGTCATAGCCCTATATAGTTCATGCAACTACCTAATGTTCACACACTCACACATCCTCACACTCCTCTACCCTCCTCCACTTCTTAATCATGTCTACTGTAGTAATTCTCCCCCTCATAGCCAATCAGACTCTCCATTCACATACCCAACTGGGGGTTGGGTATGTCTCATCTGCGCTAGGTGTGCAAAACGTGTTATTTTGCACGATGTCGTCTATCCAGGCTTGCCTCATGTGTTAATCCATATTCACTTTGCTTCCAAACTGCCTCTTCCTGCCCATTGCTCTGCATATAAAGATGCCTACTCTTCTCTTCCAACTTTCTCTCCTCTGCATTTTTCTCCTGTACCTCTATCTCCCCTTCCTGCCAGTCTTCTGCTATCTCTATCAGATTCTCGCTTCTCCATCACTCTTCCATCTGCAAGGATCTCCCTCTATCTATCTACTCCTCCTACTTACCTATCTGTCATACAAAATGGCTCCATTCTCTTTTGCCATACCTCACCTCTGCGAGAGCGACGATGACTGGCCGTCAGACGCCATGTCTATTGATGGAGACTCAGACCGCAGCAGTGTAACTGTTGAGAACGACCCTGACCTGGTGTTGAACATCCAAACGGGATTTCGCTCCGGCCCAGCAACTGAGAATGACTCTTCCCCCGCTGAGTTCAACGAAATCATCGAGCTCGACTCTGACACCGAAGAGGGGTTCAATGAACAAGACTACCTGACCGACGCCGCCTTCAATAGACTACTACAAGACTGGAACAAAGCCCCCCGAAGACAAGATGTCGATGAGGACGTACAGTTCATTGATGTCGCACCAGCCAAGCGTCCTCTCAAAGAATGGTGCGCAAACGGCATCGTCTACACGCCCGGGCAATCCCTTGAAATCTTCGATGGAAGATTCATCCGGATAGAGAGCATATCCCAGCACGTTGTGTCAAAAGAGATCTTCTTCACTGGGAGGCACTTGGTGCGCGCTACCGGCCACAAGGGCACTTATATCCCCAAGTGGCCCAACGAGCTCATTTGGATCGCAAATGACACTAGAAACATTGGCTTGCCTTTAATCAAGCGCATTGTAAATGTCATCTTCACGAATGCATGCCATGTGGAGAAGGATACCTTGAAGAAACAGCGCCCCCACGCCCTGTTCTGCCGGCTAAAGGAGAATTTCCGCGATAAGCCAGATGACCCAGCTTCTGTGGAATATCTCTCATTTGACGAAGCCGATGAAGGGTATAGGACCTATCCGAGCAGTCTGCGCAAGGCATGGAGGGGAACAACCCGTTCTTTTGGAGCGAGTGATGCTCCGCGGGCAATTGATCTCGAGGGACCCGTGATTGATCTGACTGAGCAAAGTACCGATAACAAGAACAGTCGGCAGTACACGTTTGGAGACGGCTTTTGCGGCGCCGGCGGAGTATCCTGCGGTGCTCGTAAAGCCGGTCTGCGCCCTACCTGGGCATTTGATAGTTCCAGACACGCGGTGAATACGTATAGTCTCAATTTCCGAGATGCCGAGTGCGAAGAGTCGGATGTCTTTTCCTTTTTGACGAACAACTATGATTTTCTCAAAGTTGATGTTACGCACGGGTCTCCGCCATGCCAGACCTTCTCACCTGCTAAGACCGTGCAGTGCGCTACGGACGATGCAAACTCCGCATGTGTCTTCTCTTGCGCGGAGCTTATTCGGAAGGCAAAGCCAAGAGTCCACACAATGGAGGAGACGAGCGGATTATATGAGCGGCATCGAGAAACTTTCCATCGGGTGGTTCTGGATTTTATTGAGATCGGCTACTCTGTTCGGTGGACCATTTTGAACTGTGCAGATTTCGGAGTACCACAGCTACGGAGGAGGTTGGTAATAATCGCATCTGGGTAAGTAGATATCGCGTCTTTCTTGTTTACTTGTACTGACGGCCTTGATAGTCCTGGGGAGACACTCCCGCCGTTTCCTGAAGCAACGCATGGGCTACCTGGTTCCGGCCTCAGGGACTACGTAACGATTAACCAGGTCATTTCGCGAATTCCTCGTGGGGCCTCCGATCATGATGTCGAGGGCGCGCTGCAACGTAGCGCGATTGACCGACGACCCTTCGACGCCAACAGACAGGCACGAACGATAACCTGTGGCGGCGGCGAGAATTATCATCCATCGGGCAGACGAGGCTTCACCAACAGAGAGTTTGCGTGCCTGCAGACTTTCCCTATGCAATTCCGCTTCGGGCCTCGCGAGGTGCGGAAACAGATAGGCAATGCAGTGCCGCCGAAGCTGGCAGAAGCCATATACCGTTCGGTGAAAGCCTCGTTGCAGCGAACGGATGAGGAGGAAACTAATCCTGAGCGGCGAGGGCCATTTTGATTCTGGTTGATCATTGTGTCTTTTCTTGGGCATCACGTGCGATTCCAGATCTCTCCTCGTTCCTGATGCTCTTGTTAAATGCCGTCCACGCATTTTATTGAAATATATTCTCAATTAAGAAAAACCTCAATGATTCTCTTCTCATTATGACTTCAAGAACCCGTGGATCTTATGTGATTCCTTTCCACAGTGAATTCGACAATATTGGCGGGCGTTTGTTGTGTTTCGGGCCTCGGTGTGGAATTCGGGTACCCTCAGCGAGTGGAGTCCCGACTGTCAGAGCTTGAGGGGGGAAGATGGGGATGATCCGCCAGAAGATCCACATGCCTTGGCCTCTATTTGATAGCCGCGGGAAGGCATGAAGCCGTCCAACCGCGGAGAGAAGGGGGGGCAGCCATCGCCACGATAGTGGTCGAGTTTGGGGGAAAGAACATTTAGAAACGTTAGATGAGGGACATGGTATGCGGATAATAAATAATAATAGTTTGCTTCCAGATGATCTCAATTGTGCGTTGGAGATGCAGGATCCGGTCGACGTAGGTTATGCAAGGTGGCTCCTCCTGCATGATACTAAAGCACTAGTTCTCGACCGGACATTCTGAGGTTGAGACGGAGGGGCTCAGCCAACATTATTAGTAGTTTAGTACAGCAATTCACAGAGATGAAGGTGTTGAGGAGGAGAAAACTCTGGGTCAGGCACCGGTCGCACTGAAACTGGTTTTTGAGTGCCATTGACTTTCTAAATATTGGGACCACGCGAAAAGGCGCTGATTGACTTCTCCGATCAGTAAGACTAGTAACAAAGTAGTAAGAGAAATGATGAGAAACCCTCCCCGCTTCATGTGTCTCCGGACAGCCGGCAATAACCGCCCGGATTGATTGTAGGAGGAAAGAGAGAAATGGCCTCGGTACAAAGGCCGGGGGCGGTATGAGATCAGGGTTGATCTTAGCTCACCGTCCCTTTCCTTTTCCCCTTCTTCCCTTGGATTGCCCCCAGCAACGTAAGTCTACTATTTTCTCCGTACTTTCCGCCCTTTCTTCCTCTTCTCCCTCTTCTCTTCCTTCACAACCCGGCGGCATTGCTGCATCCTCCTCCCTTAATTGCATTCGTCTTGGGTATCAATCATCATCATGTCTGCCTCTTGTTCAGCGTTGAGACGGCTGACCCACAGGTCTCCCCGCACTTGGCCCTCCCGCATCTCCTCCGTCTCCAGGCCTGCATCTTCTCTTTCTTCCGTTGCTCGTCCCAGTCTCAGGACTCCCTCAACATTTTCTCGCGTCTCTCGGTTTTCCACCATGTCTCCCCTCCAATCTGCTGCCCCCGTCGTTCCCGGCGATAAGCCGTACGACCCGGAGATCAAGGATATGGCCGACTATATCCACAACTACAATGTGAACTCGGACTTGGCGGTGCGATGGTTCTCCCGTATTTTCGTTGGCTTTTTCCTGTGTGCGATGGACTAATTGCAGATGTCTTGACTTGCAGTATGACACCGCCCGTTTGGTGTTCCTCGACACCCTGGGTTGCGGTCTGGAGGCTTTGAAGTTCAAGGAATGCTCCAAGCTCCTGGGCCCGGTGGTGGACGGCACCGTGGTCCCCAATGGCACTCGTGTTCCGGGAACACCTTACCAGCTGGACCCTGTCAATGGCGCTTTCAACATTGGTGCTATGATCCGCTGGCTGGACTACAACGACTGCTGGTTGGCTGCTGAGTGGGGTCACCCCTCGGACAACCTGGGTGGTATTCTGGCTGTCGCCGACTGGGTTTCTCGCACAAACCGTGCGGGCGGAAACATCGCCGGCGGCAAGATCTTCCAGGTCAAGGATGTCCTGGAGGCCATGATCAAGGCCCACGAGATCCAGGGTGTGTTGGCGCTGGAGAACTCCTTCAACAAGGTCGGCTTGGACCACGTGGTCCTGGTCAAGGTTGCCACCACTGCCGTGGTTGCAAAGATGCTCGGTCTCAGCGAGAAGCAGACCGCAGACGCGATTACCCAGGCGTTCGTGGACGGACAGTCGCTCCGTACCTACAGACACTCCCCCAACACCATGTCGAGGAAGTCCTGGGCTGCGGGTGACGCATGCCAGCGGGCCGTCAACCTCGTCTTGAAGGTGCAGAAGGGCGAGGGTGGCCTGCACACCGTTCTGTCTGCCCCCATCTGGGGTTTCTACGATGTTCTGTTCAAGGGCAACAAGTTCCAGTTCCAGCGCCCCTACGGTAGCTACGTCATGGAGAATGTTCTCTTCAAGGTCTCCTACCCGGGTAAGTCTAGCATCGGACATCAGTATGGAGGAGATACTAACAGCTGCAATGATAGCCGAGTTCCACTCCCAGACTGCGATCGAGGCCGCTCAGATCGTCAACGTGAAGCTCAAGGCTCTTGGAAAGACTGCCGCCGACATTAAGGAGATCAGAAACCGCACCCACGAGGCGTGCATCCGTATCATTGACAAGCAGTTCAAGCCGATGGACAACTTTGCCGATCGTGACCACTGTGTCCAGGTAGGTTATTTCGGATCCAAACATTGTTTGCCATGTGCCCCGCATACTGACAGCTCGCCAGTACATGGTCGCAACCATGTTGGCGTTCAACCGGTTGACTGCCAACGACTACGCCGACGGATCGGAGGCCGCTACCTCTCAGCTCCTGGATGACCTGCGGAAGCGCATCTACTGTGTCGAGGACCCCCAGTTCACCAAGGATTACCACGACCCTGCCAAGCGCACCATCCCCAACGCCCTCACCGTTACTCTGAACGACGGAACGGTGCTTGATGAGGTGGTTGTTGAGGCACCCTTGGGCCACCGTCTGCGGCGTGAGGAGGCCAAGCCGGAGATTCTGGCCAAGTACAAGCGTCATCTGGAGGCGCACTTCGACCAGGCCCGTATTGACCAGCTGATCCAGATTGGCTGGGACCGGGCCGCTCTCGAGGGCTATGATGTCGACCAGTACGTCGACCTGTATGTCAAGGACCAGATTGTGGCATCCCAGTAGAGTCATGATTGTATATGCGACATGGAGATATTATACCATAATTTGAAGCGAGATTTTGAAGACATCGTGTATGAGATAAACGAGAATTAGCCAGTGATAGAAAACTTAGAATTACGATATGGTGGGACTGAGACAATCAGGATTCTGCAGGTTGGTACTAGAATGACCAGAGACTGGGCTAGGGTAGATGCTAGTGGATGGACTCGCTGCCGACGGCTATGCAATATGCTGCCGAACCCACCAACAACACGATCCATGTTTATCAGCCAGGATCAAGACGTTGCCGACCCTCCTCATGTTATCATCTTGCAGAGTAGCCGCGATAGTCGATGCCCTCATACACACAGCTGATATCATACTTACAGGGGATACCCATCCAAGTGCAGCAAAAACTGGATCTTCTGGCCCACAGTCGAGTCTGCTGCTATATGAGACCTAATTGCTCTCTACATCATAATATACCTCCTAAGTCAGAAGGGCACATTGCAATCTTGCACCATATCCAGGTACTCCACTGAGAACGTTAACAACTTAGAAGATAACTTCCCCATCATCTTCCACTCAAGCCATCATCGATAGGGAATCGGCGATAAGACAGGCCCTAATATCTAACACTACTGCCTAGAACAACAACAATACCAGTTAGTGGGTGTCTCACCCTACCACCAATCACATCAATTGACCCTGCTATCAGTGCAGCGCACGGATTCCCATCCCGCTAGCCTAATGCAGGCTCGATAAGAGCGAAAACCTGGGGTAAAGTGGTAGGTACTCTATCTCGGCATCGGCTGTTGTCGATCGGGGCCAGCCTTGCCGATACAGCCAATGATCGTGTTGGTGGGGAGTGTTGCAGTTGTGATATTGAGTTTCGTGCCAAGATATGGTTGATAGGGTGCTGAGGGGGTTTGGATGATATCTGGGGTGGGTGTTGGGATGTATTTAGGGGAGAATATGCGCGTGTTGGTATTCGCTTGAATACTGTCGTCCTTTTTTCAACAGTATGGCGGACTTTACGACTGAAAAGAAGGAGAAGAGCGGTGGTGGTGATCTTGAAGCTGTGAAGACAAGTCTGGATAATGGGGTGATCGAGCTAGAATCGATGCCTCGGTTCTCTGCTGAGGCGGAGAAGAGGCTTGTGAGGAAGATTGATTTTCGGTATGTATGCTTTGAATATGGTTTATGGGAGTGGAGGGGGATTAATGGTGATTTAGGATTCTTCCCATCATGCTGGTCGCGTATATGATGTCGTTTGTGGACAAGCAGACGTTGAATTACTCGGCTATTATGGGTCTTCTGACGGACCTGAAGCTGCATGGGACGGAGTATAGTTGGACTTCGTCGATCTTCTACTTTGGGTATCTTGCGTTTAGGTGAGTTGACATTACGTGAAGCAGTATAGCTTGATGATCAATTCTGATGAGGAGTATCCAGCTATCCTGCATCACTACTGCTTGTCAAGTTTCCCTTGGGGAAGTACTTGGCGTGCACATAGTACGTCTTCCTCTTCCTGATGCCACACCACATGCTTAACGTTATAGTCTCTGCTGGGCCGTCGTCCTCGCATGTCATGCTGCTACCACGAACTTCACCGGACTCATGGTCGCCCGGTTCTTCCTAGGCTGCGCGGAAGCCAGTGTAACCCCGGGATTCGGCCTACTAACATCTCTATGGTATCGCACGTCTGAACAACCGCTACGCCATGGGATCTGGTTCTGTGGCAATAGTTTGTCACTGGTGCTCGGAAATGCCATTGCCGTAGGTATCTGGCAGATTCAAGACAGCTTAGCATCATGGAAGGTAGAACCTTTACAGATGCCCTGAATATTTTCACAAAGCTGACTTCTGATAGTGGATGTTTGTCATCTTCGGCACCGTCACTTTCATCTGGGGTTTTGTAATGCTCCTCCGCCTGCCCGACTCACCCACAAATGCTTCCTTCCTAACAGACGAGGAGAGGGTCATTGCGCTGGCACGACTGAAGGCAAACAAAGCGGGGTACAAAAACAATAAGATCGAATGGGGCCAGGTTATGGAAGCATTTACAGATCCGAAGACATGGTTTTTGGCTGTGTTTGTTCTGGGCTGCAATATTCCCAATGGTGGTTATACGACAGTGAGTTGTTCGCTTCATTAGGAGACTGCGCAATTAATCTGACGATACACAGTTCTCAGGCCTTATCCTTAAGGGCTTCGGATACGACACCGAACATACTCTGCTGCTAGGCATGCCTGGAGGATTCATCGTCTTCCTCATCATCTTGATATCGTATGCCCTACCACCTTTGCCCCCCACCTAAATATGGACCTCAATTTAACATTCTACGAAATTATAGCTGCTTCACATCGACCAAACTCGCCAACAGCCGCTGCATAACCTCCATCATACTCACCTGCGTCAGGTACATCCCCCTCCCCTCCAAACCACACCCAACCCCAGCCTCGCATCCCCACTAACAAGAACCGAAAAGCATCCTAGGAACCGCCCTCGTCAACAGCACCAGACCCATCGCCTCCCGCTACATCGGCCTCATCCTCATGAGTCTCTACTCCGTCAGCTTGCCCCTCTCAATGGCCATGATCAGCGCCAACATCGGCGGCATCACCAAGCGAGCCACCGTCAGCGCCATATACTTTATCATGTACTGCGTGGGGAATATTATCGGGCCGCAGCTTTTCTTTGAGAGTCAGGCGCCGAGATATCAGGTGCGTTAGACCCATACCCCCTCAACAGAAATACAGTACTTGTAAATTGAACTGACATGAGTTGATTGGTATATGTAGAGTGGGTTCATAGCCGTGTTCGTGTGTCTGGCCGTCGTGGTGGTGGATCTTGTGGCGTTTGTGGTGTATTTGAGGTGGGAGAATGCGAGGAGGGATAGGTTGGGGATGGGGGAAGGGGAGGAGAGGGAGGTGTTGGCTGATGTTACGGATTTGAAGAATCCGGGGTTTAGATATGTTTATTGATATAGTAGATTTTTAGGAGATAAAGTGGGTTGGGGTGGGTAGGTTAGTATATGATGATTTATGATGTGGACGGAGTTACCGCGTTGATAATGTAGAATGAGTACTGGGCGAGGTTATAAGCCCCAGAGTAACTAACTAGTACTTTCGAGTCTGAGATCGCGGAGAAATGAATGAATTATTCATTGCTCATAGGAATCTCAAATTTCGATGCACATCAAGGGGATCTAGTATACCCCTTAACTACAATGGATGAACATAGAACTTAATATTACTGCGCTGCACAAACACTCAAAACCCAGCAATCATCATGTCATGACGTATTCATATTCTTGCAATAAACATCATAGTAAGCCTCATCCATCATAACACCGAATCAACTACTCCTCCGCCTCGACCTCAAAATCCTCCTTCACCCTCCTCGCAAACTCATCATCCGTCACAATCTGGCACGCCACAACAGCCATCCCCGCCGCACAGGCCAGACAGCGCTGATGCGCCTCAGGTGAACCAGCACCGTTGGTGAAACCCGGGGTATGATTGACGCCGTCTGTTGGGATGGTGAAGAGGCCGTGGAAGCCGGGGAGGGCGTAGGAGACGTTTCCTGCAAGTCTCATCATTAATCAATCTGAATTTGGGACTAAGTGGGTTGACGTACCCATATCCGTCGACGCGCCAGTAAGTTTACCAGACTGCCCGGCATTATTCATCACCGTGTGATGACCCATCGCGCGCATAACAGAGACGTAGCTCTCGCAGATAGGGTTGTTGGTTTTGAGGTCGTCGTATGAGACACCCCTACCCACCATACATTAGCATTAAGAAGCATTAACCGTGGGAACTGGCTAACTCACCAATCAAACTCGACCCCACACCCCGTCGCCAACGCCGCCGCCTCAAAACACTTAACCACCTTCTCCGTCAGCGCCTTCAATCCCTTCTTCGTCGGCGAGCGAATGTAATAATCCACTGATGCCGACATAGGAATCACATTCGGCCTATCGCCCCCACTAGCCACCACACCATGAATCCTCTGCGTGGGCAGAATCTGCTGCCTCAACAGCGAGATATTCACATACGCCGCGACCACCGCATCCAATGCATTCACGCCCTCCCACGGCGCTGCGGCCGCATGCGCCGGCTTGCCCGTGAACGTCACGGTGACTTTGTCATTCGCTAGGAACCCACCGGGTAGTACTGTGGCCAAGCTGAGTAGCTCCGGATGGCCCGGGGCCATGGGGATAGGATGGACCATTAGGCAGGCGTCGACGTCCTTGTAGGCGCCATTTTCGAGGAGACGGACTTTCCCGCCGCCGGATTCTTCGGCGGGGGTGCCGAGGAGGCGGATGGTGTAGTTGGAGTCCTCTGGGGCTTGGTGTTTGAGGGCTTCGCAGGTGGCGATGAAGGCGGCGATGGAGCTTGTTGCGATGAGGTTGTGGCCGCAGGCGTGGCCGATGTTGGGGAGGGCGTCGTATTCGGCGTTGAAGACGATGGTGCGGCCGCCGGTGCTGCCGTGGGTGTAGGTTACTTCGAAGGCGGTTGGGAGGTCGTAGGCGGAGCGTTGGATGCGGTAGGATGGGTTGGTACGTTGGAGGGTTTCGAAGAGGGTGCAGATGTTGTCGTGGGCTTGGTGTTCTGTGTAGGCTAGTTCCGGGGTGGACCAGATCTGGGGTTGTTGGTTAGTAGGTATGTGAGGTATGGGTGGGTGTGTTGGGGCTTGCCTTCTTGTTGATGTCTTCTAGCTCGGAGGCATGTCTGTGGAGGGCTTCTTCGACGCTGGCGATGAAGCGTTGTTGTGTTGCTTCGAGCTGCATGGTTGTGGCTGGTGTATGTGTACTAAGTACTAGGTAGGGTTTGATTGTATTAATCAGGTGCCGGAGTTGGAGACTGGCATGCACGGCATTTTATAGCTGGATCGTGCATGGTGGAGATGGTTCTCCGCATTGATTGCGGAGATCCGAGAGGGGGCTATCGGTATCTACAATTGATAAGTGATAGGAACTGACTTATCTACTACTACTAGACTATCTACTACTGTATTTGGTACAGTTGAAGCCATCACAATTGCCGATACCGAGGTCACATGACCGGTGCCGATGCAGCCAATCGGCGGGCGAGGCTCGGCAGGATTGGCGGCAGGAGGGCAAAAAAGAGCATCGGTTGGCGATTCAATTCTCCGCATTTTCTCTTCCCCCCTCTCCTTTTGATGTCCTCCTGGTTGGTTTGTCTCGGCTCGGTGTCTCTAATGGCCCTGCTTTTGATCAGGTTACATGTCAAGTCTGACAGGACATTCCTCCCCGACAGGCACACCGCGAGTAAGTGGAGCAACGGCAAGCACGCGATAGAACCGATAGACGATGCATGGGCTCGGCAGGAGGACTCGGTCCAAGACCGGTAAGGATCCCCACCAGTTCTGTCTTACGCCAATTGTCTAGGTTTGCTTTTTTCGGGGTTTCTTTTTAAGAATGGTCGGACTTACTGCACCGCAGGTTGTCGCACGTGTAGAATCCGCAAGGTCAAATGCGACGAAGAGAAACTATTCGTTCCTGGCCAGCAGGAGCCACAATGCCGGCGTTGCACTGCGGCCCGGATCGTATGTGAGTGGAAGGGCGGCCCCATCCCCCGGGGTCCAGCTAAAAGGCCCGGAAGAGACACTCGCCCGCTGGAAGCGCAGATGGTCTGTCAGCCTATCCCGTCTCCTGCGCGTTCTTTATCGCCCACTGGTGGTGCTGGGAACAGCATCCAAGCGGCCAATTCGTTGGTTATATCGGACTTTGATCGCTCGTGTTTGAACTATCTTCAGGATTCTGCGCTGGTCGTGATCCTTGGTAAGCATTGGCCGTGGTCTACCGTGTCTTATGCATACCATAAAATTGCAGTCAAAGAACCCATGGTTATGAGCATGATGTTGGCGACTACGTCGAGTGAGATCAACCGGTCGCGTTTGTACGACCGGGACAAAACGGACGGACATTGTACCATTGAGAGTTTGTCCGACATGGACAGTAGGTTGCACTATGGCCGGGCTCTCTCTGGTCTTCGGGAAGCGCTGAAACCAGACGTCAAGTCCCCGGCGCAGATCGAAGCCATCTTCATTACCTTGTGGATGATGATTGATTATGAGAACCGATTCGGCAGCGGGACTGCTGGAATTAATATTCACATCCGCGGAATCGAGAGTCTACTCTTCAACCATGTCGTCCCGTCACTCAAACAACTAGAGCCTCCAAATGTCGCAAATAGAGAGACAAGCTCGCCGACTGCACTATGTAATGTCGCAGATGAGGCCCAGAGCATGAGCGCATGTGACAGCCCTGTGCTGCAACAGACTGCGGATTTGTCCAAACACAGACTTCGACATACAGCGGTCCCTCTTTTTCTGCTTTGGACTCTGTACTTTTTCACACCGGGCGCTTTGCTCTCTGGCCCAGGTGCTGCCAGGCTCGATGCCGACCTGTTCCGGTTTTTCATGCAAGACGAAGCAGGAAGTGCGGGTTTGAGTCTTTCTGAGCTGTATAGGATTGGCAGACAGTCCCCGTCTCGATTCTGGGGCGATTCCTACCCCACCACCGCCCAATTGGATGATATGGAGAATATGCCGGGGCTATCGTTGTATCATCGAAGTCATGTACTGCAATTCAAGATCACGGAGTTATTTCGGCAAGGAAATCCTTCAATCAAGTCGGGCCTTGAGATCATTAATGAACTCACCGTATTATCTGATGTAAGTATCCGTCTCATACCTGCAGATGACCTGTCATGTCTGCACATGGGTGGCCGAAAGCGACTAATCCACTGATCAGGAATTCGACACCTTGTTGAGTTCCGCCAAGTCTGCGCCCTCGTGTGAAGTCGTAGGTGACGGACGTCGCGTGATGGAAACGATCTTTTGGGCAGCCATTACTTACTACGGCACAATTGTGTACTTTCACCTGTGCTTCAAAGACACCCTGGCCAAAGGACTGCAGGGTGCAGGGATGATGACCCTGCATGATGCCGTTTCCCAGGTTCTGGAACTTTCTTTGAAGCTACATCGCAGCAGACCGCACTTGATGGTGCGCATCACGTGGCCTCTCTTCATCGCGGGGATTGCCACGTCCGACAGAATATACCAAGACTGGGTGTCATTTCGGCTGCGCGAGCTTGGTCGCTACGGGCTCAACTACAGCCGAGTCAGCGCACGGTTTGACGAGATTATCCAAGGAGGCGATCCATTTGCGCACGGACGAAGGCCATTGTGCGCACAGTAGTGCACTCGATTAGACGCTGAAGTGAGTTGATAGGATGTCTGCATCCCAGTGGCAACGATGATAAGGCTAGAATAGCCCGGGGATCTGCCTGACGTGTTTTCTAGAAAGTTTCGGGAAGAGGATCCTAGCCAAATCGTGGGGTCTTCCCCGACTGCCAACATATGCTACGCTCTAGCCATGCAGCTAGTGGTCGTACATTAACGCACTCATTCAGGGCCTGCCATGCACAACGATTATGCTTGGTTCTGAAGTGACATCGTGGTCATAGTGACGACCCTGTTCGAACGAGTCAAATGGACATGAACAGACTTAGAGTTTGCCAACCATAGCACTAGTCTTGGCAAAAGATATACGCGGGAACAAAGACTTTCCATTGCGGTCGCTGACTATCTGCAATGTTGTAGCGGGCTATTCGCTGAAATATGATGTCTGACAAATCGGGCACCTATACTGATGGTATTCGAACCATGATGCGAGACAGGACGCATGGAAGACATGGTGGCAACGGTTGAGGACCAGGATGTTTCTCCTCCCAGATACTCGATCGGCCTCCATTGTGTCATGCAGGTTGGGCTCGTCGTGGGGTGATGGTGCGACCCAGGCCGGCTCGGGAAAAGGAAGGGTATCTTGGGACGCTGCTAGGGTTGACAGACAGATGGGACTACCAAGGAAGCCATGCATCAGTTCTATGGAACGCAAGTCCGGCCAAGACCGCTACCAGCAATGTGTCCCCGCATCTCGGCCAAGCGTTGGCGCCACCCAAAGGAGAACAGCCTTACCAGGATTCCTGAGCGTATAACCGATCCTCGCAGCTCGCGTGTGTCTGCTCGTCCAGCCATCGATCGACCGATACCTGCCGCATTATGCCACCATCGGTGAGGTTGCGGAGTTCGCTACTGCGTCTGGCAGTTGCTCGTCGACGATGATGGTACAGCACGATACTGTCAGGTTAGATACATCCAAACAATGGAATTCAACCAGCATGCAGCATCCTCCACCAGGCATGCATGCAGCAGTTGAGCCTCCAATAGGGGACACTGGAACACTAGTACTCACAATGGGATCGTACTCAAGGCCACAAACAACACCACTGCACCCACAATGACACCCACTATGCCGGTGTGGTGCGTATCCCCAGCCATCGGAAGTATACGGAGGAACAACAACAAAGATAAGATCGATAGGTCAACTGCGCTCAGGAGATGACGCGTCGGATAAATCGGCTCGAAGCCAGCGACTCACTCCTCACGACAGCTTCCAAAGCAGCATCAGCAGCGTCAGCAGGGGTAAGGTGGTGGGGATGGTTGCATGGGGGGATACTGGGAATGGGATCCATCACCGGCGGGGGAATTGGGGCAGGTCTCCGAGGACAGAGACGGCTGCATTTAAAGTTGAGCCAGCGAGTGGCCCTCAGACCCCCGCGCAGCAGCACGCCAAGGCCACCGGACAGTCAACCTGCGGCGCCGTCTGTATTATTGCCTCCAGGAGGCGCCAAGTCTCCGCGCTCCGGAACACCTTGGCGTTTCCGCTGGGGCCACTCGGCCGCTGCACCAATCATATCGCTCGAACTCGGGTCTCGATGCTCGTACTGGCTCACGTGGCGGAATGCTGTGGTCGTATGCGTCATAATCCCGAAAGAGGCGAGACTCGCCGACTTCGCGCCCAAGGTTGGCGCCAAGGCATCGCTTCCGGGGGTTCTGTGATTGGCGCTTGGCGGGCTGGGCAGTTCTGTTCGGCCTTGGGTGTTTATACTGAATGCCAAGACTACTTCCAGGTCCGGCGATACAGAAACACTTATAAGAAGGAGGAATTCCCCGGGATCATGTCGAAGAGAGAGTTTAGAATTGGAAATAAGCAAGAATCAGGATCTAGAACAGATCAGATCAAATCAATTCACTGCTTCGCCTCACGTGTATGGACTCTCATTCCATAGAGGATACATTCTACATGACACCTCCGTGATTTACTACCTTTAGTAGAGAAACCCCAAGCATTACACACAGACACAGAAACAACACACAGATACCCCAATATGGGCACTGAGAAACAGTCTCAGACTGCCTCCACCCCCTCCCACTCTCCCCTCTCCGCCCCCGCCCACACCCTTCCCTATGCCTCCGTCTTGCAAGAGCTTTCTGTCAACTCAGAAGAAGGTCTCAGCACCCAGGAAGCAAAGTCCCGCCTTCAGAAATGGGGACCCAACGAACTCGAAGGGGACGAGGGCATCTCCCTCGCGAAGATTATCATCCGCCAGGTGGCAAACGCAATGATGCTGGTAAGTTTCCCAATCTTTACCATCTTGCCTTCCCATCTCGCTAACATGATCTACTATTCAGGTCCTCATCATCGCCATGGCCGTCAGTTTCGGCATTGAATCCTGGATCGAAGGCGGTGTCATCGGGGCCGTTATCGCCCTGAATATCATCGTAGGCGTCTACCAGGACTACGCGGCCGAGAAGACCATGGACTCGCTACGCGGCCTCAGTTCACCCACAGGAGTCGTCACCCGTGACGGCAAGACAGGCACCATTCCCGCCATGGAGATCGTCGTGGGTGATATGGTCGATTTGAAAGTGGGAGATACAGTTCCGGCTGATTTACGGTATGCGTCATACATTTGCCACTCCATTGATACATTCATAATGAGATAATGATCTAACACCAAATAGACTAGTGGAGACGATGAACTTTGAAACAGACGAAGCCCTTCTTACTGGCGAATCCCTCCCCGTTACCAAGTCATCCACTACTACCTTCCCCGCTGACACTGGACCCGGCGACCGTCTCAATGTCGCATACAGCTCCTCCACCGTCACCCGGGGCCGCGCGCGCGGCGTGGTGATTAGCACTGGCATGAAAACCGAGATTGGTGCGATCGCCGCGGCGCTTCGTGAAAATGGCAACCAGCGGCGCCGGCCCGTCCGTCGCGGTCCTCAAGGCGAGACCAAGAAGCGGTGGTACGTGGTGGCTTGGACATTGACATGCACAGATGCAGTGGGTCGGTTCCTGGGAATTAACGTGGGGACACCACTTCAGCGGAAATTGAGTAAGCTGGCGCTGCTGTTGTTTGGAATTGCAGTAGTATTCGCAATCATTGTGATGGGCGCCAATGACATGCGCGATGACAAGGAAGTGATCATCTACGCAGTTGCTACCGGATTGGCCATGATCCCCGCTTGTCTCGTGGTCGTGTTGACGGTCACCATGGCTATGGGCACGAAGCAAATGGTCGAGAGGAACGTGATTGTGCGGAAGATGGATTCCCTCGAGGCATTGGGCGCCGTGTCGAACATCTGCTCCGACAAGACGGGCACTCTAACCCAAGGACGCATGGTGGCTAAGAAGGCCTGGGTACCAGGGCTGGGTACAGTCTCAGTCGGAGTCTCCCGTGACCCATTGGACCCGTATGACGGCGAGCTCAAGGTCATCGACGCCATGCCCGGAGAAGGAGAAAGCGAAGGCGACACCAAGACGCCGCAAGAGATAGTAACAAACAGTGCGCTGCTGCAGCGCTATCTGGACGTCGCAGCCATGGCGAACCTCGCACACGTGCACCGCTCCGAAGAAAATGGAGAATGGCAAGCCCGTGGTGAGCCCACCGACATCGCCATCCAGGTCTTCGCCGCACGCTTCGACTGGGGCCGGGAAAGATGGACCGCAGGCGACAAGCCCATCTGGACACAGCAGGCCGAGTACCCCTTCGACTCGACCATCAAAAAGATGTCCGTGATCTTCCGCCGCGACGACACCGACGTGATCTTCACCAAGGGTGCCGTGGAACGTGTCCTCGAAGCCTGCACATCCATCGTCTGGACCACCGGCACCTCCGAACCCGTGCCCCTAACCGACGACATCCGCAACACCATCCTCCAAAACATGGAAGCGCTGGCACGCGAAGGACTACGCGTACTCGCCCTCGCCCACCGCACCAGCTCCTCCACCTTCACCGACGTCCCACCCCGTGACACCGTCGAACAAGACCTCACTTTCGCCGGCCTGATCGGGCTCTACGACCCCCCTCGCCCGGAGACTGCTGGCGCCATCGAAGAATGCCACCGCGCCGGCATCTCCGTGCACATGGTAACAGGCGACCACCCAGGCACCGCCCGAGCCATCGCCGCCCAAGTCGGCATCATCCCGGCCAACGCACAGCTCCTTTCGCGCGACGTGGCCGACAACCTCGTCATGACAGCCAGTCAATTCGACTCCCTCAGCGAGTCCGAGATCGACGCCCTGCCTACCCTCCCCGCCGTGATCGCGCGCTGCGCCCCGAACACCAAAGTGCGAATGATCGAGGCGTTGCACCGCCGCGGCCGGTACGCCGCGATGACAGGCGACGGAGTGAACGACTCGCCGTCGCTGAAGCGGGCAGACGTGGGGATCGCAATGGGCCAAGCAGGCAGCGACGTGGCAAAAGATGCATCGGAGCTGGTCCTAACAGACGACAACTTCGCAAGCATCATCAACGGTATCGAAGAGGGCCGTCGCATCTTCGACAATATCCAGAAATTCGTGCTGCATTTACTTGCTGAGAACGTAGGGTTAGCGCTAACCCTACTGATCGGACTGGTCTTCAAAGACGAGAACGGCCAGAGTGTGTTCCCCATCGCACCGGTGGAAATCCTCTGGATCATCATGATTACGTCCGGACTGCCTGATATCGGACTGGGAATGGAGATGGCGGCGAGTGATGTGATGGATAGACCGCCGCAGAGTGTATGTCCCTCTCCTTCTTTTATCTCCTACCATACCATACAATGACTAACAACTAATGATGAATAGAAAAACGGCATCTTCACCCCAGAAATCATCATCGACACCCTCGTCTACGGCATCTGGATGGCCGCTCTGTGCCTCAGCGCCTTCACCCTCGTCCTCTTCGCCTGGGGCGACGGCAACCTCGCAACAGAATGCAACAGCAGCTACTCGACCCCCTGCGACACGGTCTTCCGTGCCCGCGCCACCACCTTCGTCTGCATGACCTGGTTCGCGCTGCTTCTGGCCTGGGAGATGATGCATTTGCGGCGCAGTCTGTTCAATATGCATGATTCTACCTCCACCTCTACCTCAAACTCCAAGCCTAGAAATAAATACACGGGCTGGCTCTCCGACATCTACCGCAACAAGTATCTCTTCTGGGGTATTGTGATCGGATTCGTGCTTACGTTTCCCGTGCTGTATATCCCTGTGATTAATGATGTGGTGTTTAAGCATATTGGGATTGGGTGGGAGTGGGGGGTGGTGTTTGTCGAGGCGGGGCTGTTTTTAGGCGGTGTCGAGGGGTGGAAGTGGGTTAAGAGGGTGTTTGTGAGGAGGTGGGCGGCGAAGAGGGGGGATGAGAGGAATACTATTCAGGGGGTTGGTGGGAGTGGGAGGAATGGAGTGGATGAGGAGAAGGGGGCTGGGGGGTTTAGTCGGTTTACGACGTTGAGTCGGGAGGAGGGGGTGTTGGGGTTGAAGAAGATTTAATTGATAGATTCTGTTCTGTGGGTTGGGGATGATGGTTATAGACTTGTTTGATAGATTTTTAGAGATGATCTGATTAACATATTAGTTAATGTTGTTGCGAGTGTCGTACTGAACTTTAAGACGGATTTCAAAATCATTCAATTCATATATCGTAGGATGGCTATACTAATGTCCCAGGTTCTGAGGAGCGGCGGTGGCCGGTCCCTCTGGAGTAACATACGCCTATTACATCTAGTTAGTAATGACCCATCAAAGATAACTAAATGGGAAACATACCTTGGACATTCCACCATCCACGACAAAGTCACTACCATTGACGAAACTGCTCTCGTCACTAGCCAAAAACACCACAGCATGAGCCTGCTCAATAGCCTCTCCGAACCGACCAGTAGGGAAGTGCACCTCCCGCCGGAAGCGCTTGGGCTTGTCGTCACCCAGCCAATCTTGCAAAAGGGGAGTGCTACAACATGTCAGTAACCATACCAGAATCAAAAACAAAGAATAAGGAAGACTAACTTCAACGGCGCCGGACACAGCGCATTGAACCGGAATCCCTCCCTCGCATGCACAATAGCCAATTCGCGCGTCAACGCCAACACAGCACCCTTACTAGCCGTGTACGCCAACTGGGGCGTAGCACTTCCCACCAAGGCGACCACACTCGCCGTGTTGATGATGCTGCCCTTGGTCTTCTTGTGACGACGCAGACTCAGCACAGCATGCTTGCATCCGAACCACACACCCTTGACGTTGATGTTATGCGTCAGATCCCAGATCTTCTCGGGGGTGTCCACGGCGTCGGCATCGTCGGCGTGCATGATGCCCGCGTTGTTGAAGATGACGTCGGTGCCGCCCCAGCTGTCCTGGGACTCGACCATGGCTTGTACGTCGGATTCCTTGGAGACGTCGCATTTGATGGTCTCGACGCGGGGAGCGGTGGGAACGACTTCATTGACTTTGGCGAGGGCTTTCTCTAGGGCGGGGGCCGAGATGTCAGCCATTAGGATGTTGGCGCCTTCGCGGGCGAAGAGGATGCTGGTTTCGAGGCCGATGCCGCTGGTTTGGTCAGTGGGATGGTCGATGGGGATATTGAGGGTTTAGAGACGTGTAGCTTACCCAGCTGCACCGGTAATGATGGCATTCTTGCCTTGGAGACGACCTCTGGGAGCGGATGCCATGATTCTGGGGTTGTGTTAGCTGTGATGGTGGATAGTGGGGATGGTGCGGGGTAGAGTGGATGGCAGTATGGGTGATTGTATGGGATTGGCGTACCTCGGGATATCTTTAAGATATATCGAGTAAATTTAATTAAGGATAGAGACAATTGAGCAAGTATCAGCTCGGACAAGGAGAATTACAATGAAGAAGTGAGGAGAGAGAGATGCAAGAGAAGCAGGGATAATGAAGCAGGAATGCGGGACAGTGGATCCCGCTTATCTAATGGCGATCCCGATAAGGCAGGCAGCTGTCAGGCACGCAGGCCACCATGCATACACTGCATCTGCTGGTCGAATATTCATCATTCATTGTCAATCAAGCTCTGTATCTGTCATCATTGGACAAGACACCTGATAAGGGCTGCAAACATCCCAATCACTGTGGCTTCAAGTATCAGCATGGCGGGCCCCGTGACGGTCCTCCAACTGATAAGCAGCGGTGGCTGACGTCCTTGCGTTCCGCTCGCCTCCTCACCGTCATTCCCCTCATTCCCCCCAATTTCACTGCTGGTCAGTTCTCTCCACCAGCAGTACTATCCCCTCAATCTGCTCGTGTCATAACCCGATCACCCACCATCATGTCCTCTACCACCCCACCCTACGAAGTCACTCTCGAGAACGTCGCCCATGTCCTCCAGAATGACACCCGGGTCAAGCTGGCCGGTGTTGACGTCGATGGCATGCTCCGCGGCAAGCTCGTCTCCAAGAAGAAGTTCCTCTCCATCGTAGCTGATGGCGGCTTTGGCTTCTGCTCCGTCATTTTTGGCTGGGATATGCATGACCGCACATACTTCAAGGAATTGACCATCAGCAACAAGGAGAACGGGTACCGCGATCTCGTGGCAGTTCCGGATCTGAGTAGTTTCCGTCGCATTCCGTGGGAGAATAATGTGCCATTCTTTCTGGTCAGCTTCTTGGACCCTGATACGAATGAGCCGGTCTGTGCTTGTCCGCGGGGGCTATTAAAGTCCGCTCTGGGGAAGGCGGAGGCTGCGGGGTATCGTGCCATGGCGGGGGGTAAGCGCTTTCGTCATATTCTTCTTGAGACTCGCTGACGGTTTCCCAGCGGAATATGAGTTCTATCAGTTCCGCGCGCCAGGAACGCATTCGAACCCCGAGCGCAATGCGTCGGCCACGGCAACCTTCCTCAAGGAGAACCCCGTCGAGTCCCTGCCTCCGCTGACGGAGGGCATGTTCGGGTACAGTCTGACCCGTCCTATCCACAACCAAGACTACTATTATGGAGTGTTCGACGCGTGTGAGCAGTTTAATTGTGAAATCGAGGGTTGGCATACAGAGAGCGGTCCTGGTGTTTATGAGGCGGTAGGTTGCATTGGGTGACGTTATGGTCCCTGCTGACGGTAGCAGGCGCTACAATTCGGAGAGGCCAAAGAAATGGCCGACAAAGCTGGTCTTTTCAAGTGAGTGGCTTCAATCTACAGAAGATCAAACTGACTGTGCCAGATACGTCGTCAAGTCGATCGGCACCAAGCACGGCATCACACCCACCTTTATGGCCAAGCCACGCGAGGGTTTACCCGGGAATAGCGGACACATGCACATCTCACTGGTCTCGAGCGATGGGAAGAATGCGTTCATCCGCGACACGCCCGACCAAAATCCGCCATATCCCGATGTGGCTTATCTCTCCGATCTAGGGCGACATTTCCTAGCCGGGGTCCTCACTGGTCTTCCTGATATCATGCCAATGTTTGCACCCACGGTGAACTCTTACAAGCGGCTGGTGGAGAACTTCTGGGCGCCGGTTACGGTCTCCTGGGGACTTGAGCATCGGGCGGCCTCGATTCGGCTTATCACCCCACCTACCGCGAGCGCAAAAGCAACCCGGCTAGAGGTGCGTGTACCCGGGGCTGACGCGAACCCGCATTTTGTTTTAGCAGCAGTTGTTGCATTGGGGTGGCGGGGTGTGGAGAAGAAGCTGGAGATTCCGGTTCCGCCGCTGTCTAAGGGCGAGGATATGGGCGGGGCAAGCGATAAGGGGGTCCGATTAGCCAAGTCGCTGCGGGAAGCCACGACGGCGTTCATGCGCAAAGACAGTGTCGCACGGGAGGTCTTTGGCGATGCGTTTGTGGAGCATTTTGGGGGCACGCGGGAGCATGAAGTGCGCTTGTGGGAGGAGGCCGTCACGGATTGGTGAGTGGCGGAGCTGGCTGCAGTGAGATGAAGATACTGACTATTGATAGGGAGGTCCGACGCTATATTGAGACGGTGTAACCGGATGGACGGAGCTGCGTGTACAGGCCAGCAGCTGGCAGATTAGAAGCCCGTGTTACCTTGTTATTTTGATTTCCCTGTTTTGCCCAGACTGGTCCAGATCGGACGGTACAGATTGGCTGCAGACGAATCCGTGGCAACCCGAGCTGGAGCTGGGGTCGGGAGAGCACAGCGGGAGTTAGAGTTGACAGCGATCACATGCGTTCACATGTGGAAGCGATGACTGGATGTACTTTTGATCCTTGTTTCATAGTAGGCGTATAGCATGTGCGTAGCGAATTGAACGAGCATACATAGAGTAGCTGTGGCATTCTCATCTTGTTCGAATTTTTGCCAGCCATGAGTGAGTCACTGTAGCAATGATACAGCTCCACGGCATCAGAAAAAGCACCGTATCATAATCGGGACAAGTCGGTCAAGTGTAGGCGATGGCCGGACCGCAGGAAGCTTGCTCCAGGACGGACGGAGGAGAGGAGCAGTACAGGGCAGCAGGATGGCGGCGAACCGCGGTTGGGAGGAAAGGCTCTCGGGCCTGCGGGGAGTTTAGGAGTTTAGGAGCTTATCAACATCCTCGGTTGACTGCGTGAGTGGCTACTGGAGTGGACAATGCAGTGTTGGTGTATCTGGGCAGCTGCAACAGAGCCAGCAAGTACCGACCCACGTCGGGAATCATCTCGAGATCTTCCAGGATAGTATCGTTAATATAGTGATCACTACAGAGAGTATAGTACTCGAATGTATCGAGTAAGAAGTACTCGGCCTGAACGATAAGCCGTAAGTCGGAATCGGTAGCCGGCGTGCCCCGCCCGTTATCGGCCGAATTGCAGCTGGGTTTCCCGCGGAAAAGTCACGTGGAATGGAAGCTCTGGAGCAGCCCTCATTTTGGGTTCAATCCAGCTTATCGGGACTCCCCATGGACCGCGGTTAGTGAAGTGAATGGTGGGACTGACGTAGTCGCTGTGTAGAACATATATTCTCTTGCTCTCCCTCCACATCTCGTAGCTTATAATAGTGCTGGTTGTTCTTGAAGTCTTCTTCGCTGCTTCCTTCTTCATATCATCTCATCTCCAGTACTTCTATCCTGCCGGTCCGGATAGTATCTAGTATACCCTCCCCCCTCATATACTTCCCGATAAGATAAAGGACTCTCAATCCATCCTCCACCATGGTGCAAGTCGATACCCAACTCAAGGACGTCGTCATCCTCGGCAATGTGAGCTCGGAAGCTCGCAAGATCCTCACCAAGGACGCCTGTGCCTTCCTCGCCATCCTCCACCGCACCTTCAACCCTACTCGCAAGGCCCTCCTCCAGCGCCGCATCGACCGCCAGGCTGAGATTGACAAGGGTCACCTCCCCGACTTCCTGCCCGAGACAAAGCACATTCGTGAGAACGATGCCTGGAAGGGTGCTCCCCCGGCTCCGGGACTCGTCGACCGCCGTGTGGAAATCACCGGTCCCACAGATCGCAAGATGGTCGTCAACGCGTTGAACTCGGATGTCTGGACATACATGGCTGATTTCGAGGGTATGCCCTTTATTTCCCCGGATCATTCCCAGGAGTACAGTAGCTAATAGCAAAAATAGATTCCAGCGCTCCTACCTGGGAAAACATGATCAACGGCCAAGTCAACCTCTACGACGCCATCCGTCGCCAGGTCGATTTCACACAGGGTGGTAAGGAATACAAGCTGCGGACAGACCGCGTGCTCCCCACTCTCATTGCTCGCGCTCGTGGCTGGCACCTCGACGAGAAGCACTTCACTGTCGACGGCACCCCCATCTCCGGCAGTCTGTTCGACTTTGGTCTGTACTTCTACCACAATGCCAAGGAGCTCGTTGCCCGCGGGTTCGGCCCGTACTTCTACCTTCCCAAGATGGAGTCGCATCTCGAGGCGCGTCTGTGGAACGACGTCTTCAACCTGGCTCAGGACTACATTGGTATGCCGCGCGGAACGATCCGTGGTACCGTGCTGATCGAGACCATCTCGGCGGCGTTTGAGATGGATGAGATCATCTACGAGTTGCGCGAACACAGCTCTGGATTGAACTGTGGTCGTTGGGATTACATCTTCTCCTTCATTAAGAAGTTCCGCAAGCACCCCAACTTTGTGCTTCCGGATCGTTCGGACGTTACTATGACCGTGCCGTTTATGGATGCGTATGTGAAGTTGTTGATTAAGACTTGCCACCGCAGAGGAGTCCATGCTATGGTAGGTCCCCATCCTCTTTAACACTGAGGTGCTATGTGAAGATGATACTAATGATATTGCAGGGAGGCATGGCCGCTCAAATCCCCATTAAGAACGACCCCACCGCCAACGACAAGGCCATGGAGAGCGTGCGCGCCGACAAGCTGCGTGAAGTGCGCGCCGGCCACGACGGCACCTGGGTTGCCCACCCTGCTCTGGCTTCCATCGCCTCGGAGATCTTCAACACCTACATGCCCACCCCCAACCAGCTGTTCGTCCGTCGTGAGGACGTCCACATCACCGCCAACGATCTCCTGAACACCAACGTCCCCGGCAAGATCACCGAGGACGGCATCCGCAAGAACCTGAACATCGGTCTGTCCTACATGGAGGGATGGCTCCGCGGTGTGGGCTGCATTCCCATCAACTTCCTGATGGTACGCCCCAATCTCTTTCCTTTTCTCATCCACACATTATGGAATGTATACTAACAAAGGAACAGGAGGATGCCGCTACCGCTGAAGTCTCCCGCAGTCAGCTCTGGCAATGGACGCACCACGGCATCACCACCTCCGACGGCAAGAAGGTCGACAAGGCATACGCTCTGCGTCTCCTGCAGGAGCAGGCTGACAGCCTGGCCGCCAAGGGTCCCCAGGGCAACAAGTTCCAGCTCGCGGCGCGGTACTTTGCCGGCCAGGTGACGGGCGAGGACTATGCCGATTTCCTGACGAGTTTGTTGTACAATGAGATTTCGTCGGCGGGCAAGGCCGAGCCTGCTGCTAAGCTGTAAGCTGAGTAGCTAGCTTGCGGTTGATTTCGGACGTAATGGTGTTACGATATGTTTATGGCATGGGTTTTAATTGTTCATATTATTAGGATGATTGGGTTTGATAGGCTGGACTTATTATCATTGTTATTATTATCATTGCTCTTGCGATTGTTACTATGGTATTACACATATTGAATGGATGAATGCATTTCCTCTAGGATTATCAGATTATTATCAACGCTTACATTGAATTACTTCACATATCCTGGGACCGAGATACAACTATTAATAGTGTAGCGTTGAGTCCTATTCGGTCCAGCTGTTGACATGCTAGTACTTATGGTCTATAGACCAACTTACTTGAAGAGGATATATATGGACTTCATCGGTAGTATCGATTAACATAAGTTACTGCTACTTTATAATTGTTATATTACATGTCCTGTCTTTCTAATATCTCAGTTATCAAGCAAGAGTTATTGCATTCATGAATGCAGCGAGATATGTAGAACTGATTAATACTAATGAGAGGAGGAGAAAATGGAGTTTAGCTGGATCCATTCGTGTGACAATAACTGAGAGCAAGAGACTAATACTGAGTGCAATTTATGACCAAAACATAGGTGAACTCCTACAGATTAACTTGAGAATTACATATCGCATCAAATAGTATCACCCTCTACCTCTACGCCCACCACAGCGCTGTCTCCAAATATCCGCTAAGATCAGCATCCCCATCGAGCATCGCCTCGACATTCCACCTGATGTGGTACTCCCAATGATCCCGGTATTTACCAGGTAAGAAAGCCATTTTATCACCACAGGCGTTGAGGATCTGGGCTAGACGGTAGTGGCAGTCGAGGAGATTCTTGCTCGGTAGTTCCAGATGTTCTGGACCAGGCGCCGCTACTGACTTGGACTCGATCTCATCGGGTATCAGTAGGCTAGTTGGACACGCGCTGAATCGTACGGTTTTGTAGACGTTTGGGCGGTCCTATTTGATCGGGGATATCAATATAATGAAGTAGCAGTAATAATAATAATAATGATGTAAGATTTGAGACTTACTGTTGCTTTGAAAGCGAGAGCGAAACGACTGAATACTAGATTTGTTGGTAGATCTATCAAGAAGCTGTTTGATAGGCTGTTTACCAGGGCATTGATGCCACCGGCCCCCATTCGGGCTTGGTGAATGGCAGGGAAGTAGCGGCATAGGGTTTCCCAGACGGTGGTCATCTGTATTCCAGTGATGTTATTATTGGTATTATTGGCAGACAATCAATAGATATAAGGGGAACTCACTGCAGATTTATTCCAGTAGGAAATAAAATACGGCATGATGTGCGCTACCTGCACATAGGTACTTTCAAAGCCCTCTGGTCTGCCTTTCTCGGAATACGTTTCCTAATCCATAGCCCCTGTAACGACGCAGCAGGAGCCATCACGCTTCAGACAATCTTCCTGTGTGCCTTGCTGGTAATTTCCCAAGGGACTAAGCTGCTCTTGGGGTGTTCTGACTTCGCTTGCTTCTGACTGGAGTATGGCTTGTCTTGTCAGTGGTACTGATTCTGGTATCGTCTCGGGTGATCACGCACCTGGCCAGACTAGGATGGTGAGAATATTGAAGAAAATCTCATGAAGCTTATCATCAGTCGTCGCGTCTAGAATGTCACTAGCTAGGGCTTCTTTCCCGCCGTCCGGTAGCCATTGGAGAGATGCATCTAGTGTTGCTTTCAGCTTGGTCTCGTGGAGTCGTTCCTGGTTGGAGTAGCGGGAGATGCGCTCTCTGGCTTTTTCGATATCTGGGGACATTCCGGAGAGATCTTACTGCTTTGCAAGGTGACAATTATTTCCTTGGAAAGAGCCATGGTGGTCGATTTTGTTGATGTTCGAGCAGACTTTGTGTAAGACGTAGGTATGATGTGAGTCTAACTCGCAGCCGCGGAGTTAACCACACTCTACCTTAGACAAAGAAGGGAGATGACATTGTCTTCCCTGTGTTCCCACATCATTCTCATCACAGAGCAATATTCTGTATGGATGCTAATCGTAGTCAAGATGCTCGTTCATCGATGCTACGGAGATATTCTATTGTTTGCAAGCTGATCTGATTCACAATTCCGCAATTCTCATATTCAACGATCAAGATGCAGATTTCCAAATCGTTCTATGTTTCTCTGAGGAGCTTGGAGTTGGCGAAAGCAAGCAGCTCACCAGCGACTTGGATTTCTCGGCAAACACCGAGAAGTTAGTGATCATGAAGAGTCACTTGTGACATCGGCTGAAAAGTGGTATAAATGCTTCTCTCTCCACTTATACACCAACCGTAGATACTGTTCAAGATACAGAAGACCGCGAGACGAACCCTTGCTACAGTGATCAGAATCACATTCTCCTGCCTGATTAATTTCAACGGAATTCAGTTTAAACCCCAGTACTACAGACATGACACCACCTCACTGCCCCAACTGCGGTTGTTTCAAGGTATGGTCAGATCACTTCACCTGTATATTCTCGTTCGATTCGTGAACTAATCACAATGACAGAAATATAACACGGAGGAAAGTGACTGCACCCATTGTATCAAGCGGAGCATCGACTGCGTGAACCCTCCAGGTGAATGCAAGCCAGGCAGACGACGAGAGCATTGCGCTGAGCAGAGCAGCAGCAATATTCTATCGACTCCAGCCCCAGCTGATTTCATCAACCACCATCCTGCTTCTCATCTCTCTTCTCCAATAATCGAAAGATCAATACTCACCCAAACACCCTCCGAGTACGAGCCAGAAGAACAGCCTGAACCTCTACTATATTCCTCGTGGGATCCAGAAAGTGCTACGAAGTCTCCAGTCCAGGCTCGCACTTCAATTCAGTCAAATGCATACAGCGAGTACCCAACGGAGTATCTCCAGTCCAGCGGACCAGCTGCCGGCTCAGACTCCAAATACCTGCACGGCTATTATAGTGGACCCTTTTCAGGGCATGCCGAATGCATCAATGAGTCACGCGAGAAAACAGTAGAGCCTACAAATCCGGACCCTCAAAACGCGGCGGACCCTACTGGAGCCAATGACATCTTAAGCTGCGCAGGGTTTGTTTACATGCTTGAGCATTACACCAAGAGCAGGCCAGAAGTGGACATAATAGTGAGAACGACGGAACACTCCATTAACGTAGTAGGTAGACTTCTGGAAGCGGAGGAGGAAAATCGCAGCCTAACCCTTCTGATGCTGACTTATACGACCCTTGCCCACATTGTGACCCTTTACGAGAGCGTTGTAGCCCAGATGCCTCTACCAGTCTTCGAAGCGACAAGTGCCTCGACCGGTGGCATGCCAGCGTTGAAGTATAGGCTGCAAGAAGAAACCGACAAGCTGGCAGACGATCTGCGGGAACAGATCTCCCAATGTTCCCAGCTGGTGGGGATACTACACACTCGGCTAATCAACCCAAGTGATCCTATTAGCCCCCATCGTCGACTGACACATGCTCTCCAAATCAGACTGCACTCACTTTTGGGAAGGAGTCTAACATTCGGATCAGCAGGGTCTGATAGCGGTACGAATTAGACAGGATGGTCTGTGAAGGCAGTTGAGAGCATTACGACAGAGGAATAACATTGATTTCACACGAATCCTCTTGCCATGTTAAATGCATGATACATTATCATACTTCATCCTAACGAAAATCATTCCTATCATGAACCACCATATAACCGAATAAACAAAATAAATGCATGCATTTTCAATACCAACCAAACAAACAAACCAGTAACTACCACCACCACCACACCATCCTCGTCCATCTCAACCCTTATACAAACTGACTAACCCCCTTTTTTGAACCCTAACTCCAACCAAACCTTCCATAAAAAACAGAGATCAAATATACTCCCAAGCCCCCACACTCGCATTCCTTCCCCACGCCCTCGCCCCAAACCCAAGACACTCATTAACATTCCCCCCGGGCACAGTCGCATTCTTCCAATTGACATACACAATCCACCTACCGCCTCCCGCCCCCGGAGTCGCAGACGGACTCACCGACGGACTCACATACGACGAAGAAGGCGTCCCAGAATGCTTGCTAGGCGTAGGCGTCGAACTCGGCTTCGGCGTACTCGACGACCCACCAGGCACACTACTACTACTGCTACCTCCTCCAGCTCCGCCTTTCACAGGACAGGCAATGAATCCACCCGGAGAGCCCGTGTAATTCCAGCTGCCGTAGGGTGTGCCCGGCGTGTAGCTGAATGGGCCGGTTGAGGAGCCGGGAGGCATGTAGGCTGAGTGTGGGGCTGTGAAGGAGAGGGCGCCGGTCGAGAGGATGTAGATTTGTTGGCCGCCGGGGACGGAGACGGACTGTATGGATGAGGGGTGTTAGTTGGTGGTTGAATTTAGGGTTGGGGGGATGAAGGGGATAAGAGGGGAGAAACGTACCAGGCCGTTATCACCGACGATTATAGTCTCGTTTCCTGGGGGACATTCGCCTTCGGAGGCTACGCCAGGTGGACAGTAGGAGGAGGTGCGGCCGCCGAGGTAGAAGCGGCCCGAGAAGATGGTTAGGGCGAGGTTGTTGATTGGGGAGTTGGAGCGGTAGGCGGTTACGGTGAAGGAGGAGGTGGAGGAGGTGTCTTCGTCGGAGGATGAGGAGGAGGATGATGATTCTTGGGTGTAGGATGGTGTGGGGAGGAGGGAGAGGGTGGTTAGGAGGAGGGTTAGGAGGTTCATTGTTCGTTTTCTTCGTTCGGTGTCTTTGGGATGGACTGGAGTGTATTGTGATGTGTAGTAGATGAGAAATTGTAGTATGGGCTGGGATAGGGCTTTCTTATACAAATATCTACGTAGTAGTGATAATTTGATCTCTCTGAAGTCATCCGGAGAAGTATTCCACTGGGTTGGTGTTGCAGTTGGACTGGGTAGGGTTGGGTCGGAAGGTATTCCCGCAGCGGGGGTGTACTTGGTGCTGCGGAGATGGATATGAGCTCATGGTTATGTTGAGCGTTAGAAGAGAGTCAATGACTTATTGTAGGTGCTGTTGGGACAGTGGGAGAAAATCTAATTAGCATAGCTGATTATCTTCATGTGATACTTGTTGATATGGTGGAATATCTTCCTTAAAGAAACCCTAACTACCTCTTTATAAGGGTCGGAACCAGCTTTTACCTTGTCTATCACTCCGCGATCCACTTGAAAACACGCTAAAATCAATTTCTCATTACTGGCAGTCTGGTTTAAACGGAAGCTCGCACCAAGCACTCTAAATAAACAACATTATATCTCAATACCCAAATACTTCCTCCTATCAAGTCACCAAGAAATAGTAAAAGGGCTTGAACTGCTATCTATGGCTCCTCATCCCCGGGATATCAGCAGTAAGTAGTAGAACTGCTTCCCTCCAATCCACACCCATGCCGCCCATTTCACGTAGTCCATATCCATCCATCCATCATTCATCCTATCCCATCCTATCCCATCCCATCCCATCTCAGCATATCCTTCTCTCCGAAAATACCACACCACCAAGACAACTGTGAAACGAAGTTTCCAACCTACAACAACTTCCACAAATCCAGCACCCCCTTGGTGCCATCCACAAGATCCCAAAACTCCCTTTCCAACTTTTTCAACTCGCCACCATCCGAATACACCCTTACCAACCAATGAATGCCCCGACATTTCCCATAGTTTTCCCTAATCTCTTGCATCTTGCGATCAAACTCCTGAGCACACTCCTTCAACTTTTTCACTGTTGCGAAGCTACTACGAACATCCCCGTTCCTCTCCAGCTCACCCAGCAACTTAATACAATCACTGACAAAATACTCCGTCGTGTACTTACCCTCAACAAGCTTTTTCACCCTGATGATCTTGTCGAAATTCTCCTTTCCTTTCCTGCAGAGGGCACTCATAGCGGGGCCCTGCAAAAGGTTCAGGATTTGAAAAATGGAGTTTTCTGCTAACATGGTAGGTATGTAAAGAAAGAAAAAAGAACAAGAGCCGATAGAGCAGTGAGAAAAGCAAGGGCAACGAGACAGAATGAGTCGAATAGAATGGTAAAGACCTAAAGAAACTACATCTACAACAACCTATCTCGAGGGCATTCATATACTCCAGAGCATCTCCCACGACGCGTCCTGGTCTCCCGTTCTCGCACGCCGACCCACTCTGCTGGGATCACTTTTGCACTCCTGTCCAATAGACGCGACTTGGGAGCGTGCGAAGCGCGCAGTGCGGGCGCAGGAAACCCCGTGGAAAAAACAATCAGTTCATGTAGTTATAACAGGGGGGAGGGATTATTGAACGAATCATACTGGGACACACAACTTCACGTCCTAAACCGAAAAGGGTAAGGTATGGGGAGAGCCGTGTAATGGGCTGCTTTCTCACCATGATGATGGTGCGCGTTGCACTGCCCCACCTCCCCTTCCCCCCCCGCAGCCCATGGCGAGGCTTGGGTAGATTAGGTGGTAATGCTTTCTCGCGCTTGTCATGGCAGTTTCGCTGTGTTTGTGTCGTAGGGCGGTGGGAAATCCGTCGGTGGCCTCGTGTGAGGGCTGTCTTATTCCATCGATTTTAGAGTGTTAGATGTTAGTTGTGATAAGGAAAGTGGTATCGTAGTGGATGGGGCGTTGCTCGCTCAGGTGTGTTCAGTCTTCTAAGTGCCCCGCTTACTGACGATGGTTCAACATGATGGAGAGAGAACGACAGTAGGGCAAAAGTCTGGAATACAAGCGCATCTGGGATCTGCAGGTTCCTTCAAAATCATTGATAGCAATTCTATATGTACATGAAAATCTAATAATACTCCAAATCTAATAGTATCCTCGCAACGGGAGATCTCTCGAACTCTGCCCTACCCAGATCTCAAAATCTCCGTCCGGCATCACCCAGTTCTGTTGCCGCACACTCCAATAGCTCAGATCCTTCCGGCTGAGACTCATCGACACTGTCTGCGCTTCACCTGGCTCCAGGGCCACCTTGGTAAAGTTTCGCAGCACACGCACCGGAAAGTCGATCTTCTCCGGCACCCGCTCAATCTTTGTCTTGCTAGAGCTCCGATCGTGCACCTCCACCCAGTCGCCCTCCTCGCTCACCTCCTCTGGGAAGGAGACATACATCTGCACTACGGTCTGACCAGACCGGGGTCCCGTGTTGCGGACCTGCACTTCCACGTTCGCCATCTCCTCGAACAGAGACGGGTTGCCGCCCAAGCCACCGCCGGCTTGTGACGGTGTCCGCGGCTTGTCGTAGCCGATCGGGTAGTGTGTGTAGTTGGTGGGGTCAGTACCATCCAGAGATGGAAGATAGGGGTAGATATATTTGCTAACGACGTTGAATCCTGGTGGGAAGAAGAATGATTCGTTGCGCGGCGGTTCAAGATCGTACTCTGGGGGAGAAATCATGGCTGGAGGCCTCGACGCAGGCAGCCGCGACTTCGACTGCAAGGCGTTCACCTGCAGTTCGGCCAACTCGAACGTAGCGTAAGACAACCCATAGCCAAACTCGAATCGTGGAGTGATATTATGGCGGTCGAAATAACGGTGGTCAATGTACAGACCATCTGTAAAGTCCACCTGGGGGACCGGTGCATTGGGCTCGTACAGCACTTGCGCTCCCGGCCCGTAGTCGGCGAGCCTCTTGCCCACCGTGTATGGCAGCCGGCCGCTGGCATCGACCTCCCCGAACAGCACGTCCACCAGAGCGTTGCCACTTTCCTGTCCGGGCAGATGCGCGAACAGGACGGCGGCGACGCCCGGAAGGTCAATCCAAGACTCAACGACCACCGGGCCCACGGCGTGCACCACCACCACGGTCGGCCCGCCACAGTTTTTGGCTACCGTCTTGATCAGCGAATCGCCGCCCTTTTGCAGAAAGAGGTTGCTGCGGTCGCCGTTAATGCCACCCGAAGAGATGTATCCCTCGCCGGAGTCAGCGTTCGCAAACACCAAACATAGATCTCGGTCGGCAGCATCGGCGGGCATCACGGCATTCCGCATGTACGAGTGCATGTCGATCTCGGTGGCCCAGGCGGTATTCAGAGCGTCGATAGGACTGATCAGGTAGGGAAATTCTACCGTTCCACTACCCCAGCCCATGGCCAGAGTACCCTGGTTGCAGCCCCGGTCTGGGCAGGCGTTGGGTCCTCCAGCCGGTCCGGCGTCGTCGCCATACACGCCCACCCGATAGGGACCACCGGATGGGCTAACTGGCCGGCGGGACAATGGCAGTGTGTTCTGGTCATTCTTCACCATCACGATGCCTTCGGCCGCCACCTTGCGAGCAATGATGGAGTGTGCATTCTCGCCTTCGCCCTGGGCATTGATGAACCGGTTCACGATACCGTAGGCCTCGTCATCCGGAGACCCTTGGTGAAGCCATCCGACCTCATCGTTGGTCCACGAGGAAAAGGTAGGCCCGCCATCACCGTCCGGAGCAGGCCGAGGCCACAAGTCCTGGCCAAGATGGTACCAGGAGGCCACAATGCGGGTCACCATGTCGTTCAACCGGTCCATCGGGACAGAGGTGTTCAACACTGCGCGGGTCAGCTCTGGTCCCCACAAGGACCTTCCGTCCGCCCAATGGAGACCATCACCCGGCATACTCATGTCCAGACCCCCTAGGGCGCTGTTGATACCTGACCGCTGGGCCAACCAGTCCGACTGCACGAATCCCTGGAAGCCCATCTCGTCCTTCAGAATACCGTTCAGCAGCTTGCTGTTCTCACAAGCATGGCTGTTGTTCACCATCTGGTACGCACACATGACGCTGGCCACATCAGCCCGGATACTCTCGGCAAACGGCCAGGCAAACACCTCGTGCAAAGCACGGTCGCCGACGTTGGACGACATGGCTGAGGGGATTCCCCACTCATTTGGCTGCCGAAAATGTTCTTGCTCGTTCAAAATGTAATGTTTGGCAGTGGCCATGACGCCGTTGCTCTGGATGCCGCGAATGGTCTCCGCCGCGGCGACACCCTGCAGCACAGGGTCCGAGCCAAACGACTCCCAATTGCGACCGCCCGCTGGCATCATGCCGAGGGAGCCCATCGACGGGCCCAGCAACACGTTGACGCCCTTTATGCGAGCCTCCTCTCCCAGAGCCGCACCGCGCTGTCGGATCAGATCTCGGTTCCAGGTCGCTCCTGTTGTAATACCGGCAGGGAAGGCAGAGATGAGGTCGGCGTAACGCAATCCAAGGGGACCGTCCTGTAGACACAGCGAGGGGAACTTGACCAAATCGGCGGAGCCTGAGCAGTTAGTAACCACCATCCATAGCCTTCAACCAGACATACCTGTATTCCCGACACAAAGCCCCATTTGCCATCCAATGCCGGTAGTGATGTTGATCTTCTCAATGAGGGTCATCTGGCTGACTAGTGCCTCCGCCTTCCTATAATCCTCCGCCCATTCTTCCAGCGCGCCTCCCTTGGGGGTAGGAAACCAAGACTCCGCCGGCGTCATATCCTACAGACATCAGCATCACACCCACTAAGTCAAGTATACCAAACGAACCCGTTCAAACTCATCTTCCGACCAAGCCAAATTCAAGAATGCCCAGACCATCATACCCAGTGCGACGAAAATAACGACCAGCGTCCGCCACAGCCATCGAGAATAATAGTATGCCCGCCATCCGGTGCGGGGAGTATGTCTCCGGAACGACGAGGTTCTTCGGTGATGTCCCTTCTTCTTCACGGTGTAGTCACCATCATCGCTGTCATCGGTGAGCTCGTACTGTCTCGCTGCCGCCAATAACTCTTGTTCCGCCTCGGTAATGCTATCCAGGTATGCTTCGACATCGGTGGAGCGGCGGTTAGCGTAGGCGGAGGCCTCATTGGACCTCTTGGCGTTGTCGACGCGGCGGAGCTTTATGCGGGAGTCCTCATCGAGGTCTGGATCGGAGAGGTCGGAGAGGGTGAAGGTTTCGGAGTAGCGACGGTCATCGTGGACCTCTTCGGGGATAGATTCATGTAGGGGGGTGTAGCGTTGTTGCTGGGAGGATTTCCTGCCGGAGGAAGAGTTGTCCCGAAAGGGGAGCGGCATGGTGCCTTACGGGGATAGGAGCATTGGAATAGATTCCAGATTCGAGAGGAAGCAAGGGGAGAAAGAAAGAAAAAAAAGAAGGGACCAGGCCAGGAGGGAGAAAGGGGAGATTGCGATGGCGAGAGAGTGGATGGGGATGGCCAGACGTGGAGAAAGCTGGGCGCAAAGAGTAATGATACGAGCCATCATTTCAAGGCACCCGCCCCGCGGTTGGCCAATCACGATGGCGTCCATCTGATGGCTTACGACGTTGCGGGCCGATCATGATCTGGACCGTACTTTTGCTGGGACCCTGACTTGGAACTATACTGAGCAGAATGTTGACGCCAATAGATACATCGAAGTGAACATATAGCTAGTAGTGGTTATAATCCGCTTATTGAGTGAGAGTCGCCTCCGCCGCCTCCATGTGTCGCGCCGTCTGTCCCCGGAAGGACCGGCGTCCCCGCAACACCCAATCCAGGGCAATCAGCACTGCAACTACCCCATATACTGCAGAAACATAGTTCATATCTAGTAGTAGTCGTCGAGTTAGTAGTTATTTCAGGGCAAATGGTTAAGGGAGTGGTGCTTGGGGGTGGCTTACTGCCCGTGGTAACCGGATACACCGAGGGGAAGGAATATATAACCAGGCAGAACAAGGTCCATGCTAGAACCACAATATTACACACCAAGCCGAGTTTCCCCAGCCAGAAGGGACCGTGTTTGAGGTTATTCCGACCACGCCACAGCAAGCAGACAATCGGCACAACGTACGAGGCATAGAGTAACACAATGCACGCAGTGACCATGCTGTTGAAGGCGGTCGACGAACCAAGGTACAGCAGCCCCAGAAGACCCACTATGAAGCAGCTCACGCTGTGCGCATTTAGTGGCACATCCAGCGTGGGATGAACCTGGGAGAGAAACGATGACATGGGTAGGCCCCGGTCTCGTGCAAAGGACCAGCATAGGCGGGATTGCCAGGTATGACAGGCAATTTGGCATCCGATACCAGTAACAAA